ATAATATCTGCTATTTTTTCTAGTATTTTACTAGATTTAAATAGGTATTCTTATAACCTATAGAGGTCTTACTTTTTCTACCTCTTTATAAATATATATCTTTATATATATAAGATATATAGGCAGCTAGAGGATTTTATAGCTGCTATTAAGACTTATACTACCTCTTAAATAAAAGACCTTATGCTGCCTATAGTAGGACTTATACTGCCTTTATCTATAGTAGATATTTAATACTTCTCTTAGTTATAAGAGATACTAAGGGCTTACTTTTTCTACCTTAATATTCTTATAAAGAAAAAATAGTATAAGGGATCTACTTTATAGATAGATAAATAAATAGGCTACTTAAGAGTTTATATATACTTTTATAGTAATAAAAATACCCTAGGTATATTACCTAGGCTTATAACCTGTTAGTATAACAGGTAAGCTAGTCTCTTAGATAGAGAATTCTAGCTTAGGAGAATATAAGAGAGTATATCTCTTATATAAAGATATATCCTATAGAAGTAAGAATATAGGATAAAAGGGAGATATAAATGCTTATACCTAGGGTAGATAAATAGAGGATATAAGGATATATAGTTAAAAGAGAGTATAGTAGTTAGATTATTAACTATTTGCTTGCTTAGAGAGAGAAGAAAAAGAAACTAAAAACAGGAAGAATTCTAGCCCTTATATAGACCTATACAGCTTACTAGAATATTCTATACTTACGTAAGCTGCTTATAAATTAACCCTTAGTTACGTAATATAATAACCTTAAGTAAATAACCCTAACTTAAAATAATAACCTTATAGGAATAATAGAGGTAGAAGGTAGGATTTAGAGAGATCTTAGACATTCTAGTACCTTCTCTAATCTTTGGTTGATTACGTAATTAGGTATACTTACGTAATCAATATATATATTAATCTGCTAAGTAAGTAGATTATAAATATATATATTTTATATATATATAACCTCTATAATAGAGGAAATATAAGATAAAGAAGTATAAGAATACTTAGAGATATTCTTACTTCTAATAAGTTTCCTTATAATCCTAAAGAAATATTACTAGTAGCGTTATATATTAATATCTAACTATTTATATTTACTTTAGTTAGTTATTTTATTATAGTTAGAGGGTTAAAGATAAAGTTTATATTTATCTTAAGCTACTTTTTTCTTACTTTCTTTATCTCCTAACTATTATCTTCTTATATTTACTTATTCTTTTTCTACTTAGTAAGATCTTAGGCTTTTAGACACTTAGGGGCTATATATCCCTAGGTTCTATAGTTAAAGCACTACTTAAAGTCGCCTCCTCTAGTTATACTATTATCTCTACTTTAGGGGTTTTAAGGGTTATAAGGTTATTAAGTTACGTTTACTTTATTATTCTATATAGATAGTATATATATAGCTTCCTTAAGTAAGTTATATATCTTCTTATCTTTATTCTCTATATTTTTAATTAGCTTAATTATAACGTTTTATTTTTCCTCTAAGTTAGAGTCTAAATCCTCTATTTTTACCCTAGCTAGGTTAAGATATATCTTAATAGTAGTCTTTAGGATTTCTAGGGAGTAGTCCCTATTTAGTATCCTATATTTATCTAGCTTGTCCTTATAAAAGAGATAGTTAGATACGTACTATTATAGGCTAATATTTTTCTTACTATTATTAATAAAAATATAGACTTATTAAATAAAGTCCTTTTAGTGTGCTATTAGAAGCTTCTTATATATCTTTATAGCTTTTCTTAAGAACTAAGGGATTAGTTCTCTAGTGTTATAAGTAAATAATATTATATCCCTAACTATCTTAGTACACTTAGTTATACTATTAGTCTTTAGGAACCTTTTCTTATATAAGCGTTTAATAGTTAACTAGGATTATTTATCTTCCTTCTTTAAAGCGTTAAACTAATCTTTAGCCTTCTTTTTAAGTCTTATTCTAAAAATACTTAAATACTAATAGTCTATTTTTACTTTATCTATTAGTAGTAGTCTGTTAACTATAGCTTTAACTAGGTTAATATATTCCTTAGTAAATATCCTATAGTTACTTTTAGTAAATACTAAACCTTAGCTTATATTAAATATATCTATTATAATTTAAGGTCTTTAATTATTAGGACGTCTTAATAGAATATTCTTACTTTAGTTAAGGTCTATTTTCTCTAAAGTTTTTCCTAAAGAAGTAAAAGTATTTAGTCCCTTAGATAATAATTATATTAGTGTTTAGGTATTTAGCGTTATAGTAAATTTATAGGGAGGGGATATATATAATAGTGTCTTTAGGTTCTTAAACCCTTCTATAATATTATAGATATAGATATTATCTCTATCCTTAGATATAGATAGCTAGAGTAGGTTACCTTAATAAGGGACACTTAGTTAACTATATATCTTAGTAGTCTAGGTGCTTATAGGAGGGGTAGTGTGTTTATCTTTAATATTATCTTAAAGGCTTTAGGAGAAGATAATAAGGTGTTAGGGTATCTAGTTAGGGTGCCTGTCTAGAGCTGTCTCTAGAGGTTACTACTTAAAAGTAGTGTTTATAATAGTTAGAATATATAGGTACTTATTCCTTAGGTTAAGTTAGGGATTAAAATAGTTATTTTATATCTTTCTTAATTTATAGTTCCTTTTAAAAGGAGAAAAAGTTTAGTTATTTATAATTTTTAATTCTTTTTTTTAATAATAATTAGGAGAAGTTCCTCCTCCTCTCCCTATATCCTAGGAGGGGCTTATTTATACTAAGGTTAGAACGTCTTTTCCCTCTGTCTATACGTTCCTAGCTGTCTAAGTGTAGTAGTAAAGGAAGTATCTCTTTATTTTACTTCTATATCTTTACCTTATTTACTTTAAATTTTCTAAGCTCTCTTTCCCTTAGTTTTATACTAGCTGTCTAGAACATAACCCTTAGGTTAGACCTAGTAGAATTTAAGATTCTTTAGAATCTACACTTTCTTTATATCTAGAAGCTTTTCCTTAGTTATAGAAATTCTTAATTTTAAAAAGTTATAAGTTATAAAATTAAATATTTAAGGTATTATTTTTCCTTTATAACTCTAGGGATTTACGCTCTTTTATTTTTCTTCTGTTCTACTATTCTCCTTTTATCCTTATTCTATATTTCTACCTTAATTACCTATATCTTATTAGTCTCTAGATTTATATTTATAACTTTTTTAGGTATATTTCTTATCTTTTACTTTCTTCCCTCTTAAAATAAAGTCTTTATTATAATATTAAGTGTCTTAGCTATAAGGTAGTAGGCAGCAGCCTAGGTAACGCTATTTATATTAAGATTTTATATAGCCTGTTATTAGTAGACTTTAGTAGACTAGTAAAGATTCTTTATAATAATATTTATATATTCTATAACTTTAAGTTACTATTCCCTAAAATCCTTATTAGTTAGTCTTAAGGAGTTAACGTCTTCTTAAGTGCTGTCTATTAATCTTACTACCTTATTCTTATTTTTTAGTTAGGTATATATGCTATTACTAACTAGCTGCTTTAAAATATTTATTATTAGGTGTTAGGTTTTAATTTATGTCTCCCTAACCTCCTTATTCTCTTTAATCTAAAGGTAGCCTTCTATACGTATTAGGTTAGCTATATCTTTTATTTACTTATTATTAAAAGTAATAAATATAGCTATAACTCTTTTTATATATAGTCCCTTCTTACTATTATAGTACTTAGTAATAGTTCTTTTCTTCTAGCGTAAATAGAAGAACTTAATATCCTATCTTATATTTTATCTTTATCTAGACTTAACCTCTATATCTACCTATATATACTTTCTAAAGACCTCCTTAAAAGTATCTTAATACCTCTAGACTTTATTCTTAGTATAGGTATATATATACTTAGTAGCTATTATATATATAATTTAAATAAGGTTAAGTTAAAAGGTGCTAGAGGTAGTAGTAATAGCTATCTTATCTTATTAGCGTTTATTCTTAAGAGTAGTAAGTAAAGTAAAGTTTTAGTAAGGTAAAGTCTAATCTAGTAATATTTTAAATATAAGGTAAATAGGATGTCCTAGAAGCTTAGTAGTAATTAGCTTAGTAGTATTATTATATTTATAGTGTTATAGTTACGTTTATATAGTCTTAGAGAGAAGAAAAAAAGAAGTAGGTTTAAAAGAATTTTACACCTCTAGCTATCTAAGAGTTACTATTTTTTTAGAAAAAGCTATTATTATAGTGTCTGTTTCTAATTCTTTAGGTATTTAGTTATAGGTTATGTTTTTCTTATAGGAAAATTAATATTTCCTAGATCTACCTCTAGGCACTATTAAAAAGTAATAATAATTATGCTTGTTTCTTCTAAATGCTAAACTATGCCTGTCTTGGCCTAAAGTATGCTGTGCTGACATAATTCTGCGTCTAAGCTCAACCTTCACTATCCCTTGGGTGGGTTGTTCCTCCCTTCAGGAGGCAGCCCGCGAAGAATCAATGAGGGCATCAAGTTGCCTCCACTTTAGTCCGATGTTCCCGCCCGGACTTCCCGCTGCCCACACCTCCAGTCGAGGCAACTTCAAGGGTAAGTAGAAGACTACCTAGGCAGCCTGAAGAACCGCCGGCGGAGAAAGCTTCTAGCGCCATGCAGCCCCACGTTCCGGAAACGAAGGGGGAAAACAAGGAAACGTCCGTCATCCCGGCTGCCCCGCGGAACCAACCTAACACCGACCTCCGTCTCGGAAAAAAAAAAAGAAAAGAAAACAAAAAGTCCATCTTTGCGAAATACGGTCCGTTCAACCACCACGACGCAGCAAGCAAGCACATACACGCATAGGCGCCTTAACCACACCGAGACTCCACATTGCCATCATCGTCGTCGTCGTCGTCCCCCGGCGCAATTGGACATCCTACGGTCACCAACGGCCCCGACAACAACTGCCCACTGTTGACTCGTACCTCACCACACACCACCCACCCCCATGCGCAAAAGCTCACGATAGCTTCGCTCATCCCTCCCACCCTCATCAAACCATGCTTTACGACCTCAACATCCCGTGGTCCCCGGCCACGACCCCCGCCGACCTCTCTCGCACGATATCCTTCGCCTCCTCGCTGGGCTACACCGTCCTCGCCCTGAACCACACCATCACGCCCCCGATCCCGTCGCAAATAACGAACCCCCTACCAAAGTTCCCGTCGTCGGCGTCGGCCGCCGCCCCCTCACAGCCGCCGCAGCAGAAGAGCCCCCGGCCGACGGTCCTCCACCGCGTCACCGTCGTCCTCTCCGACCCCTCCCAGAACTACCGCCTCGCCGCCCTCGCCGCCGCCTACGACCTCCTCGCCGTCCGCCCCACCACCGAGAAGGCCTTCCAGGCCGCCTGCCTCTCCATGGCCGAGCCCTCCCTCATCTCCCTCGACCTGACGCAGCACTTCCCCTTCCACTTCCGCCCCAAGCCCCTCATGGCCGCCGTCTCCCGCGGCGTCCGCTTCGAGGTGTGCTACGCCCAGGTCCTCGGCGCGCCCGACGCCCGCGCCCGCGCCACCTTCATCTCCAACCTCGCCTCCCTCGTGCGCGCGACCAAGGGCAGGGGCGTCGTCGTCGGCTCCGAGGCCCGCTCGGCCCTGGGCCTGCGCGCGCCCAACGATGTCGTCAACCTCCTCGCCGTGTGGGGCCTCGCCAGCGAGAAGGCCACCGAGGCGCTCGGGGCGAACCCGCGCGGCGTCGTCGTGAACGAGGGCATCAAGAGGAGCGGGTTCCGGGGCGTCGTCAACGTGCTCGAGATCGGCGGGCGGGAGGAGGACGCCCAGAAGCAGAAGCAGAAGCAGCAGCAGCAGCAGCAGGGGAAGAAGGACGGTGGCAAGGGGAAGGGGGACAAGGGCACGAAACAAGGCGGCGGAGGCAGCGAGGACAGGGGGAACGGGCAGAAGCGCAAGACGCCCGACGAGGCGGGCGATGGCGCGCCGCAGACGATGAGCAAGAGGCAGGCCAAGAAGCTAAGGCTGGCGCTGAAGGAGAAGGAAAAGGATGCGGCGTAGAGTCAACACGACCCTCACCCTCCCCCCTTTTTTTTCTGGCGATGGATGAAGATTGATGAGATTAGGCAAAGTGAACACTGTATTGGGCGGGCACACGTCGTTTACGCTTTATGATACCCCCTCCCATAGAAGGAACAGAAAGAACAGGCATCAACGCCAGCAACAGCATCACACACACACATGATCAGTGACAGATGGACCCGGTGCGGACATGGGGTGTCGAATGGGACATGCTTCTCGAAGACCGGGAAGACGGCTAGATGAATCATGAGACTTGCTCAATTATCTTTTTGGGGGGAAAAAAATGCTATCGTATACAAGGGTGTGGGGGTAAAGGGGGGAGAATGGGATATTGAGACGTTTGGCCGTTGTGCGTGTCTCCCCCCTCCCCCCAAAGAAATGAATTATATACAACCGCCGGGGATTATGTCGAATGCAAGCTGGCCTCCCCTCCCCTCCTCCTCCTCCTCCTCCTACCCCCCTTCATGTAAGGCTTCTCTGCTGCTGGAAGCGATGCCACGGCCTCGCCCCATCGCCGCGCGGGATGCAGGACGGACGATGGGGGGCGGGGGACGCAGGGTGGCGGCCGCGACGTCGTAGGAAGAGGAAATCCGTACTGGTGGTATTCGGGGGTTTCGTTGGCCTGCCTGCCCACCTCTTTCCTTCTCCTTTCCTTTCTTCCTCCTCCTTCTCCTATGTACCAAGGTCCGGACCACCTCTCCGTTCGTTATTAAGAAGAAAAAAAAACCCTCACGCTTTACCTCCTAAATGTCTGTGTCGTACCCCCCTTATTCCACATACACGCGCGCGCGCGCGCAAGCACACACGCACACAAGAATCGAAAAGAAAAGGAAATCTAGGGTATTTCGTATGCCGCTTGCTGGGCCACTTTTACCAAGTGGATGATCCACGATGTTGGTCATATCCTCCCCACGAATGCAATGGTGCTTCTGCCATCTCCCTTGACGACTCCCCGCCCCCCCTCTCATTCTGCAGCCACAACAACAACAGTCCACCCCCACATCTGCCATCGAGGGATGAAGCAGTAGAAAGACTCGCTTGGCATGCATCGAACGTCGGAACATCGGAACATCGGAACATCGAGACGCTGCTCTCGGAATGGGTTTGCCGGTGCTCGGTTTCATTCCGGCTTACAACGCAGGCGTCTCGCGGGCCGGCAGCCGGCCCGTCTGCTGCAGCAGGTTGCCGAGCAGCAGAGACTTGCTGAGGGTGAGGCCACTGACGGCGAGCGCCGGCTGGGCGGGGTTCACGGCGACCGGGGGCGTGATGTCGGCGGCGGGCGCGCCGGCGGCGGCGGTGCCGGTGAGACCGCCCAGGTTCAGAGACTTCGTTGGATTGCTGTTGCCGGCCGGGCCACCGACCTGCGGGAGAGCCTCGGCGGGGGCTTTAGAAGCGGCGGGGGCGGCGGCGGACTTGGAGGAGGCGGGCTCTGTAGATGGTGTTAGTTACTCCTGCGGGTTTTGTTTTTTGCAAGCCGTCGAATCACGGGGATGGAACCCCAGGGGCGGTAAAGACGCACCAGCTGCAACAGGAGCAGTAGTTGCCGCAGACGGCGGCGGAATCGAAGAGGATAAGAGACCGGCAAAGGGCGGCGGCCGAGTAGTGCCGGGGACGACGAGGCCGGGTTGCGACGATGCCGCAGGGGCAGAAGGCGCCGCGGCTGGGGCTGATGGCGCCGCGGCTGGGGCTGATGGCGCCGCGGCCGCGGGAGGGGCAGCAGCGGCAGGCAGCGTCGGGGTGACAAACTGCGTGATGATTTGCGGCCTACGATCTTGATTAGCATTCTCTGCCCAGCTGACTGCCTTCGTCCTCTATTCTGGGAGAGGGGTTCCTCACGGGGCTTGCTGCGTGACAAAGACCGTCAACGGCGGAGGCACCGAGGCGTTCATGAACACCGTCGTCGTGACAGTGACGGGCGCGGGCGCCGGCGGGCAGTTGGCGGCGTTGCCGGCATTCCCGTTTCCATTGAGGGCGCCCAAGATGCCGGCAAGAATGCCTCCCTGGCCCAATCCCGCCCCGCCGGCGTCGGTAATGTCCAAGGTCGTCACCTTTACGCCCGCGGCACCGGGGCCTTGCACGTTGACGTTGCCGTTTCCATCGACTTGGATGTTCTGTCTCTTGTCGACGACCGCGCCCTGCTTCTGTGTGAGAATCCCGTGGTTTGTTTTCCGTGGGCGTCGAGGGAACGAACCTGAGTATTTGTCGATAGAGCTGCCACGGCAAGGAGGAGACCTCGTCTCATTGTGGGCTCGGGGGCGAAAGCTGGCGACCGTCGTACGTCGCGCAGCGTTCCTCCAGTTTATAGTGCCGCTTTCTTTTTCCTTGCCCTAGTCGTATTCCTTCCAGTGTTGCCGTTGTTGATGTCGTCGTTGTTGTTGAAACCCCCTTCTTGGATTGTTGGTTTTTTTCCTTCTTTCCTACTTTCTTGTAAGGAGTGGATTCAACAGACCAGCCGTCGATGAAGCTTCGATGGGATCAACCTTAGGATCGAAGACAGACGAAAAGAAGTATATACACAGGTTAATGGTGGAGTGGTTGTTTCCCGTAAACCTTCACGATTACGAGAGGATGGGAGGAAGTTTGGGGGCAGATCAGTGGCGACCTTCAGAACAATGCCCAGAGAGAAGATTGGATGGCCAAGGCCACGAGTAATGAGGGTGTGCAGATACCAAGAATGGACGAGAGACACGGCTAGATGGAACACGGACCCCAGAAGTGGAGGTATAGGAAAGAAGGGGTATGTCTGCGGTGAATGGCAAGAGAGTGTGTGAGGGAAGTGAGAGGTTCTCGGTCAAAGGAGAGAAGAGAGCCGTGTGTTCCGAGCTTCTCGTCAGGGACAAGGACGGTTCCAGGCTGAGTTTGGGCTGGGATAGGTAGTCGCGATGGTGAGGAGGGTAGCAAAAGGGGAGAGGGAAGATGGGATGAAGCAGAACGACATGGGCGCCACAAATCACACGAGGTGAAGGAGAGAGAGAGAGAGAGAGAGAGAGAGGGAGAGAGTCTTGAGTTGCGGGAAAGCCGCAAAGATTAATCGAGAAGCAATACCGAGAATGTCATCAAAACCGACGACTTGGCCTAGGTCGGTCCTGCTGGTCCTGGCCATGCATGCAATATGAATCAAACACGCGCCCATCCGTGGAATTTTTTTTTGAATTCCCCCCCCCCAGACGTACCAGTGGTTAAAGTGGTCGCCAATGCTTGGCGATGCGGGTGTACACCGCCCACGAAGAGGGGATGGTTCTTTGACGAGATGAAATGTGCGAGGCGGCGCGAAGAGGCGTGAGAGGGTCGTAAAGTGTTGGACGGTGGCCCCCCCGAAAAGGGCCAGACCTGGTACGATGGTGGTGTCGGATAGGCGTCTGGTCCAGGGTGACTCGCCCCATCTGAATCGGCTCAAGCATTCATTATTGGGAGCCGGGGGGCACAGCCAGCCAGCCAGGAACGCTGCAGACTCAAAAGTGAGGTTCAGGAGTGCCAAGAAACGTACCTATTACCTGGAGTAGGTAGTAGGTAGGAGGGAGGCTACATGTGGGATAGGGTCGCTGTTGCCCCATAGGTCATGGTTCATGCCCCCAAGGATCGTCAGAGACTCGATCGGAGATGGAAGCCGTGTGTAGCATGGTGCTGCGGGAGCCCACAGCTCCGTAGAAAGTTCGATATATCCCATAACATGTACCTGACGGGGTGAGGGATACCCATGCACGGGACCCGGTAAGGCTCAAGGGTGTGAGACATGCCCCAGACGGTCTTCGTCTGAGACGAGGGTACAATCCCCGAACTTCCCACCAGGGGGGTGTGTGCGTGTGGTCGCAGTCGCAGTAGCAGCGGGCAGCCGAGCCAGTGACAGCAGTGACAGCAGTGACAGCAGCGCCAACTGCGCCGTCGTGTTGTTGATGTTGTCGCGGTCGCTGTTAGGCAGGCGCTTGTTCTCATACTAGTGTACTCAGCAGTCAACGTTGAGGTTGTCAACGTCGAGGTCGTCGTCGCCTTCGTCACATAGGTCGCATTCCTGCAGCCAGTACGGATAACACGCGCGTGATGTGTTTGACGTGATGCCATGTTTGGGAAGACAGGCGGGCAGTGGCTCGCTTCCTCAGCTATTTTTGTTAGCTTTTTTGTGCCCCCCTGCCAAAACTCCCAGATCGCAAGTGGTGGTGGCAGATGACAGACAGATGAAACAATGTTTACAAATGGATAACGCGGACGCAGTCTTTTACTTTCCGCGCGCTTGCGCGGGCGATGCGAAACGGACAGATATCCTTCGCAATTGGAAAACGAGATTGTCGAGAATGGATCTTATGTTGCGTTCGCAAGAGAGCGACTGTCGCTGAACAAAACACAGGACGCATCGCGACTGGTGGGCTAGGGAGCTGGTCGGGGCCCACGGAGCCTGTGTCAGCCCTTGATCGACGCTTCGACAGGCCAGGAGGGGCGGCGCACGATGCAACGCAACGACGACAATTTTTCCCATGCTTTACCGTACCTACCACACCACCCACGTGAAGATCATCCTGCACGAGAGGGCACGAAGGCTAGGTATGTTCAGATGCGCTATCCCGTCGGTCCCACAGATGCCCACGCCGCCAGCCCACTACTAAGTAGGCATCTCATGAGTCGCGAAACAGGATGGGCACAGACGAGGCAGAGATGAAATTTTCTGGACGACGGCCATGCACAAGTATGATCTCCGTCCCAACCTTTTCTTTGATTCCTTGCATGCGAGCGTCGTCGTCATTTTTCGAAAGGGTGAACGAGCCGCTCGGCGAGACGGGATTCGTTGCCGGCCACCCGGGTAAATACGCAACGTCCTCTTTTTTTTTCTTTTTTTTTTTCTTCTTCTTCTTCTTCTAGACGGTCGAACCCCCTTTCGTGCTTGGTGAGAGATCGGTCAACGACATTCGAGACGATGAGATGGTCGTCCCAAGGTGAAGTGAAAGTCAGGAGGGGGACAAGCAGGAAACACGCGAAATCCTATGGCTCATCGGAGCATACCGGTAGTGTGCTGTACATTCATTCTCTGCCTCGACTGAGCCGAATCGCGTGACGACGTGATGGGTCAAACGACGACAAGTCCAAGCGACATGTTTGATGATGACATATTGGGGGGGGGGGGGGGCCGCCAGTGACCACGCCCACTGCCTGCCGGACGATTGGCGAAGGTGAAGCCAGCCGAGTTAATAGCACGTTTGCCCAGTTATAATCGATTGGTGTGGGGATCGATCCATGACACCAGCTTGAGACCTCGTGCGGCCACCACTAGGTAGCCATCAAGCCACCCCTTAGCCGGCCTTCAGTCGTGCTCCACAGTCTCTTCTCGTTTCACTCAATCCGCTAGGTAAAGCCTACGTGTACGAGGTCCGTAAACCGCCGGCATTAAACAATTAAACAGTCGACTAGGTAGGTATGTATGTGCTTGCTGACAATTACACATTTGCCAGTCCAGTCACTCCCTAGCCCAAAGGGGAATTCATCTCATCGACTGTGGCTGGAGCTGGAGCTGGAGCTCGATAGAATGTGGCTTGACGACGCGGCCCTCGGTGCTCCTCCAGCCCCGATGGAGGGCACCGCCCGATGTATCCTCATCATACAAACTCGCCTGCATCGGTACATGTACCCCTTCCAAAGCTTGTCCGAACCAGTGGGTCACACACAAGTCGATGACGACAGTGAAGGCTTCCTTGGACCTTTAATTGAGGCTAAGCAGACGTCCTTCCGCGATTGTCGCGCGCTGTTCACTACCTCGTCCCACGGCTCTTCCGGGACCTACCATGACTGCGTCGATAGAACGGTCCGGATATCTCGTTTGTCGCGTTGCTCGATAAAACTCTCAAGTCGCAGCGGGCCGGCCGGCTGCCCGTCAACTGTGGTGTTTCAAATCCTCTCTGCAAAGCGTCTCAGGTGTGAGATAGAACCCGCGTCCACACATCTACAACATACACACACACACACACCACCACGAGTGAGAAACCGACGCCGAAAATAGCAGTTCGCTTCAAGATGGCGACTGTACACGTCCTCGACGACTATTACCTGGCCATCACGGCACTCATCACAGTTGCATATCAGCTGTTTTTCTTCTCGATAGCCTTCAGCTTCAAGTTCGACAAGCTCACGGGTAACACCACCCTCTCTTCACCATCAACCTCCCTCCCCCACCGGGAGACGAGTGCCCGCCCGCTCAAAGAGCTCGCAAGACTGACGGTGACGCAGACTTCGCCGGCGGCACAAACTTTGTGGTTCTCGCCATAATCACCCTCTCCCTCAGCGGCCATGCCCACGCACGCCAGGTCGTCGCCTCCATCTTCATCATGCTCTGGGGCGCCCGCCTCTCGGCCTTCCTCCTGTTCCGCATCCTCAAGACGGGCAAGGACGACCGCTTCGACGACAAGCGCGACAAGTTCTTCCCCTTCCTCGGCTTTTGGATCTTCCAGATGATCTGGGTCTGGACTGTCTCGCTGCCCGTAACGGTGCTCAACTCGCCAAACGTCACGCGGTACCCGCAGCACGCTTTCGGCACGGGCCGCGACATCGTCGGTGTCCTATTCTTCGCCGTCGGCTTCGTCATGGAGTCTGTCAGCGACGCCCAAAAGTACCGCTTCCGCCGGGACAATCCGGGCCGGGAGGCCATCTGCGACAAGGGCTTCTTCAAGGTCTCAAGGCATCCGAACTACTTTGGCGAGATCCTCATCCAGTTCGGTAAGTTCGCCTCCCGCCCCTCCTCGTACGCGCGCCATGTCATCATACACCTCGGAACCGCATGATTGGCAGCCGACATGGCACAGCATATAAACTCAAGCCAATAATCGCCTCCGGGACGCTCGGCTAACACCATCCCGCTAGGCATCTACATGATCGCCGTGTCCTCCGCCGCGGACGGCTACGTCGGCGGCCAGGCCTTCAAGGCCCTCTACGCCACCATACTCGGCCCCTTCTTCCTGACGCTGCTTCTCATGTTCGTCTCGGGCCTGACGCTGCAGGAGCGGCCCGGCGCCAAGAAGCGCTACGAGAACGGCCAGAACTGGGAGGGTTACCGGCGCTACCTCGAGTGCACCAGCATCCTGGTCCCCTTCCCACCGCAGTTGTACGCCCGCCTGCCGACGGTCCTGAAGCGCACCGTCTTCCTCGAGTTCCCCATGTACGTCTTTGACCCGGCGAAGCACTCCGACGCCGGGGCCCGCGCCGAGGAGGGCCACCAGCACGAGTCCATTGCCAAGCCTGGAAACGGGAGGCCGAGCGGTGAGGAGTCGCTCGTTGGGCAGTCATCGTAAGCTTGGCTTAGGGAGTATATTGCGTAGGGAGTAATGCGCGACAGGCAGAGCAGGATGAACGATGTCTTGACAAATAGACCATGGATTAATACGCCATTTCGAACACCATGTATGTCCCTTTGAAAGGAACGTTGCATATTACTTCCTGTTTTGTCAGCAACATGTTGTCACCAGTGTATTAATTCATCGTCTACTCGATGATACTTCATCCTCCCCTGCCTACTAGCTTATACACTATTTACCCGCACTGTATAATATCATCTTTAATCTTAGGTAGAGCCAAGTTCTCGACGGTATTGCAGACTTGGTGACACTCAGTATTATAATGATATCTTTTCCGGTATACAGACGCCATTAATCATCCCACCTCGTCCCAGGCTCGCCTCACTCGAGCTACTGGCCGCGTGATGCGTCATCTTCCGGCTTGACAGACAAGACAAAGGACATGTTACGGTTGGGCCGTCTCTCCACGACACTAATGATGGACGACGGCGCCGCCGCTCAGCTCGCAGCGCCCGTCGGGCTTGGTCCCGCCGCTGCCGCGCAGGTCCGTCGGCTGGTCGAGCGCCTCCTGGGTCGGCCCGTAGTCCGTGTACTCGGCCTCCTCGTCGTGGGACTCGGCGCCCTCGGGGATGGGGACCATGGCGCTCTTGGTCCAGATGTGGACGGCCGTCTTCCAGTCGAGGCCGTCGATGCAGCCGCCCTTGACGGAGACGACGTTCTTGTCCTACAGGATTTTGCTGTTAGAACGTACTACTGCGCACTTGGGCCGACGGAGGTTGGTTTCCGTTTGAGGCATGGGGGGGAAGGGGGCGGGGGGCGCGTTGATGGCGTACCGGCGTGGCGTGAATTAGCCGGGTGCCGCAGTTTCGACAGAAGTAACTATCGAGCAACAACCCATCAGTCGTCGCGGTCTCGGCCGTATCTCTGCGACGGCAACTCACCAGTATAGAGTGGCCCCCGAAGCAGTCGGCCTCCTGCGTCCCGAGAATGTCAGCGACGACGGCTTCCTTTCTTTCTCACCTCCCACCACCACCGCCACCACCACCACTTCTCCCTCAACCCCCCAGCATCTCCTACACCCCGACAGACTCCCCTTCAAGTTTTGAGAACTCACGCGTAGACGCCCATCAATTCAGCCTTGGGCAGCTGGAACTTGGGGAAGATCGCCGACGTGCCGAACGCGGAGCCCGTCTGGCGCTTGCACTCGTCGCAGTGGCAGACGTACAGGCGCAGCGGCTTCGGCAGCGGCGTCTTGAACCTCACCGCGCCGCACTGGCATCGTGCATCCATTTTCGGGGTGGTGTTTTTTTCCCCCCGTTCTCTTCTTCTTTCTTTCTTTTCTTTTTTCTTTTCTTAGTTTATTGATGGAAACCGGCTATGCCTCTGGAGGGGGTGGTCAGCGTGGAGTCACTGGCTGTGACGTCAGAGCCGAGGGGGGTTGCTTTGGAGTGTACCGTTCGAGTCCCGGCGAGCATGTAGCTATTACGGATTGGATGCTGGGTAGGTGGTAAGTCTAGTTGTCCAAGGAACGAGTGAGGTCGTGGTCAACCGTGCCTCGCTTGTAAGTTGGGTGAGGAGGCGGCCCGGTTTCCTCGGGCGATAAAGGAGGAGTCTGCAGAAGTGCCCCGAAACGGACACGCGCGCGCGGGATCCTCCCGTCCTTTTTGTACCAAGCGAACCACCGGCAAAACCACATGACACACACACGCGCGCGCGCGCGCGGTCCAAAGACGCGAAGCCGATCACCCTCCAGCAACCGACCAAACAGTAGACTAAACACAATATGGAATTATCCAGGCGTCCCCTGTACGCCATCTTCCCGTTGATTTGAAACTACGGTCCGCCCAGCGTTGCGGTGACATGGGGTCCGACGTGAAGATGTGAGTCACGCCGGGGGTGCGGGGTCGGCCTTGGGGCCTCTTTTGGTGAGATTGGAGGCAGAGAGGGGGAACGAGACAGACGCGAAGTCACATGGGAGGCGTGTCCATAGGGGAGGGGCCGAACAGGAAGTGTAGAGAAGGAGGAGAGAGGAGCCGGCCCTCCTAGAAGTGGACAAGCCGAGCCGGTGTGTAAAGAGAAGGATGGGGTTTATTCCCAAAGTAGACTTGAATACCCGATTTACTTACTATACAGACTTGGTTTATCTCAGTTACAACCCATCGCGTTCTTATAACATCATAACTTGGTAAATCGTGCGAATTGACCGATTCCCATCTCGGCTGGACTACGGCCATGCTATGATTCATCAAGGGGGGATGTAGTTGACGAGGAGTTCGCAAAGAGTCGACTGAACTTCCAGACTGGGTATCAGGGGCCAACCTCTGCATCAGTCGCACGAAAACTCTCGCCTGTGAACACTAGGTAGACACCAGCGCTGGTGGCACTGCTGCATTCTCACTGCAGTCGAGGTAGGTTCAACTTCACTTCTGTCACCAGCACCCGATGTCACGAATCGTATGAGAGGCAAGGTCAGAAACTTGATCACTCAATCTTTATTATCTAGGCAATCACTGCCTTCTATTTCACCCCGGGTTGTTAGGAGCCTTTCCCCAACCAAGTGTTGAGAAATTAAAAGCGTTGTAAGAGCAAGCCCGATTGCTTGCGCGACCACAGGATTTCCGTCCCCCCCTGACCGCAAACGCCAAATTCATTCCCAATCTACTCGTTTGCTCAGGACCCAATTCATATAACCCGTGTGTCTCATAAGCCTCCATGCTGAAGTCTCTAGTGCCATTACAGTTGCTAATCCGTACTGCGGGAGCCTCCCTATGGATCGCAAGCTCGAACCCAAAGTCGCCGTCTCCCAAACTGTCCCGCAACAAAAAATTGTCATAAGCCAAGTCCCATGCCATTTTCATTGTGTCGCTGGATAATGGAATAGTCGAAAGATGTTCTCTGCCACAACAGCTCTCCAAGAAATGGCCCACTTGCTCACACCGGCCGGGCTTTAGCATGCCGGTCTTTCTCAGGGAAGGGTAGCTTAGCAGGAGATGCCGCGGTTGCGAGCAAGAGCCTTGCGCTGTCGACCCCCAGAGAGCTTCATCTTGGTTGAAGGGAGGTACGGCTTATACTTCTTGTCAAAGACGCCGCCGGGGACATGCTGGTCATCTTCGTCATGGAGGCGGCTCCAGATGGCGTTAAGCTTGGTGATGCTCTTGGCGTCGAAACCAAGAAAGTCAACGTCCTCTCGAACGGCAGGAGTAAGGAGAATGGTAATAATCTTGGGGCCATCGATGAAGAGAAATATGAGAAAGCGGACCACGGCGACAGTGGCCCAGCCAACAACGAGCGCAAAGGGTTTGACCACAACCCAGACGATCCGCTTGACAGTGTCGGCAACGGCAGGGTGCATCCACATGAAGAAAAGAGTGATGAGAATCAGGACCGGGATGCGGAGCTCAGGAGCCCAGGCCGTGGTGAAGTCCATGTCACCATCAGGGCAGCGGGGAGCGAAACGACCGCGCATAACATGGCCGCACATGATGGCTAGCCTTGGTCAGTGGACGTTGGGGTTATGGTACGTTGTGCGGCTTACCTGATCTTCAAAGAGTGTCAAGACTAAGATGGACCTTGTATTGTTCTTGCAAGAAGCAACTGGTTCTCCTTGATTATAATATCAAGTATGGCGAGAGTCACACAAAGGCTTGACGGCGTATGCTTTGTTAGTCACTGTCAAATTGGGGCACATTGAAAAACTCACTTGGTGTAAATCTTGCTCTCGTTCTGGCCCGACTGTAGGTGACTCCAGTAGAAAGCTACTTCTGAATAGTAGGGAGCAATTAAAGAATGCGTACAAAGGATACTGGCGGGAGGGTTAAAAAAGGTCTGTCTGAAGGATGAGCCAGGTTGACAAGGTGTCGGGGAAGAATCCGTTGCTTGTAAGATTGGTTGAGAAGGGCGCGTTACAAGATTGAGGAGATATAAAAAGGTGAAAAGCAAAGAGACCTGAAAGCCGGAGGAAGTTACAGGAACTGCAGCAGCAACAACTCCAGACGGAAGGAACGGACAACCTCACCTGCCGACCTCCTTCCTCAAGAACAGTGCCGGTCAACACGGGCCATATTCACTAGAGTCCCAGACCAAGGCCTTAAACAATGGAAATAAAGAAAAACACATCACCCGTAGCCCCTTATTGAATTCACCATATCGTACAGACTCCAGTCAACCAACGGATGTCACCCAGAGTCCCCAAAGTCCCATTCTATTCTGGTGACAGGCTCAGCAGGGTTCAGCTCTTCGTGGGTTCGCCGGAGACTTGCCTTTTTGGCCTGGGTTCCTCCATAAACCTCTCGACACACCTGACGACGACCCTCTCCTGTCCCGTCTCCCGCCTGTTTTCGTCCAGAATCCTCCCGAGCTCGGCGCACCACGCAATCTTCTCGTCGTTTCCCCAGTCCAGCACCATCAGCTCGACCTCTAGCCTCGTCAACGCCCTCATCCGCTTCAACCCCTCCTCGATCCATTCGGGTACCGGCTCGCTACGCGGCGCGGTCCCCGTCGCCAGCCCCAGGGCCCTCGACTCCGCGTTGCCGTTCAGAGCGGCGAATGTGGCCATGGGTTCGAACAACCCGCCCCCGACCAGAATCTTGAGCCTGAGACCCTGGACCCCCGGGGCCCAGTGTCCGCACAGCTGGACCCATTCCTTGAGCGTCGGGCCCGTAAAGTCCCGCCCCAGCATCTCGAGCCGCACGAACCGCATCTCGTCACGCTGCCACGGGCGCAGCCCTCGCGTGAAGGACCGTGCCGCCCACATGCCCGAGGAGAACCAGTTGAAGAAGACGAACTCGTTAGCATGCAGGGGCAGGGTCCGGCACTCGTTGTAGACCTGCTTGCTGGTGCACATGAGGCTTGAGGGAATCCCGCAGAGCGGGCGGTGCGGTGACAGCAGCATATCTTCTTGCCATGGGTCCGTTCTGTCATCCTCGTCGGCTGACTGGTGCTCTGAGGCCTTTTCTGTCCCGGAGTGGCCCTCAGCTCTGCCTTGGGGCTTGACGAGTCTATGCAAGTACACAGTTGCTGTTGGATTCGGATACCATGGCGCGAGCTGCGGTTGTTCCACCGGGTGCATGGCATGAACCCAGCCGTATATCTGAAGCCGGATCTCAAGAGGGAGGTCTAGAAGGGGGTAGTTTCCTCCCAAAAAGCCCGTTGATTTGGTAGCATCACCCGTTTCCTCCCCCGATCCCATCACTGACGTACCCGGCATGGCGGCCGGCAGGGCATTCATGGATTTCTAGATGAGATATGAGGCGAGAAGCAATGGGCCGCACCAGGCCATGCGTATTCGAAAAAGATGCTGACCGGGCGGGTTTTAGATTGATCAGTAATGCCAAGCGTGAGACGGAGCAAGAGTGAACTGAACTGTCGATCGTTTAGTTGTCGCCAGATCGCAACGAAGAAAGAGTCACATGAAAACCGGAGGAGGAGAACACCAAGCCGAGGGTGGAAGAAAATGGGCGCGTCCTGAAAACTATATATCACCTTCGCCTCGCTCGCCCAAGCCCAGGCTGGGCCCCCAATCGTGCGCGGCAGCGAACTGTATCCAACAGGCTCACTCGTCCCGTCTTACACAAAAGGCCCTCCATCCGGATGGCGGGGGAGACTTGCATGCAAACGGCAGGTTCCATTGGCCCACGCGGCGGTGGCTTGCCAGACTAGGAACATAAGCTGACCGGCAGCGAAGCCCGTGCGAGAGAGGCAGGTTTCCAAAGTCCCAATCTCGACCTCGGACCTTGACAGGCGTCAGCCTGACTGCCGACCAAGACCTTCCACCCAGCTAGCCAGCTCATCCAGACGTGAAGGAGCGCGGTCGGCGGCGGTGATTAGACGAGGATACGACGAAGGAAGCGATGTCAAGTATGTCTGGGAAACGGATGTTCGTAAGCGTACCCCGCTGCCGTCAACAACCAAACAGGGGGTGATGTGGGATTCAATCCATCTTGCAAAGCTTCCAAGCAAGTTCCGGCATCTTACTTCTCTCCCCTACTTTCGAGGGATGAACCCGGCCCCAGTCCAGTCGTCAAGTCCGCCACCCGTGCCGCCGACTCTCCGACGACGAGACGAGCTTGGCCAACCGAGGGGAAGGGGTTACGTCTTACGTCATAGTACACCTTTTCTTTTCAGTTCCTTCTCAGTGTCTTTCTTACACGACTTGTCTTTTGGAATCCGTTGTTCCGAAATGCCCCTGGGCCTCTTTCGTGAACGTCCGCGGACGCGTACCGTCAACCACCGGATCCCGCCGCCCCTCATCGGCCCCGGCGAAGCCGAATAAACGTCTCAGACCTTCAGCGCTTTCCCGGCTCGTCCGATCCGGTCTACCTCATCCCCTCTCCCATATGGAGACAGGCGCAGACGAGATAAGGTGTGAGTTATGGCGGCCCGTCATGCTGTTTAAGAAACCGAGATGTAAAAATAAGCATGAAAAGTCTATCTCATGAGACCTCCCCCCACCCCCGCGCCGCTTCATTTGCAGCAGCGTCCCGACGTGTGAAAGGCAAAATGGACAAGGAGTGGGGAGGGACTCGGCTCGCTCTCCGATCGGAACAAGCCTTGAACTCTCTGGCCCAAAGCATGTTTTTGATGCATCGTGGGGTGCGCGCTGCCGGCGTCTCCTGCCAAGCTGCTTTCGGGGCGCTCCGCTTGGGTAATCGCTCCGGAAATACCAAATCGGGGGAGGATGCCCCCTTCGCCCGCAGCGGTACTAAAATCAGCCTCCAAGTCCCCAAGTCATGCGCGGGAAGCGATTTCGCCCAAGGGGGAGGAGGGAAAGCTCTTTCTGTTTTGAATGCATGCCTCGCGGGCACTCTCAACATTAACTAGTCCTTTCAAAGACTATTCTATTTACTCATGTCCGTCACCAAATGTTCCTATTCACCCTGCCCATCCTGAATTACGTGGCCAGGTGTGGGAGAGCTCAACTTCCGCTCCCCTAAAAAAAGAAACACACTAGAAAGTCCTTTTCTCACTCGTGCGCGTGACGTGTACAAAAACGTAGCCTCGGATCCTACTCTCATGCTGCGCGTATAGATAAAAAATAACACCCATCGAGCAAATTGAACGCCCCCAGGCTGGTGTGGTAACGAGCGGGCCCATCTATACCGACGGGGCGAGGGGAGACGAGGCCTTGGAAAGGAGACGCTCCCCGTGCAAATGGGAAAGGAAAAAGCGAACCGAGTAGAATAACAAGTAAGCCTCCCTTTCCGTTTCTTCAGCGTCCGAATGAATCCCGCAAACCCGAAACATGCAAGCAAAGCCGCCCCGAGGACGGCAGGGGTATCAAAGCTTTCTCTGGCGAAAAAGTGGAATGGGAGGTTCCGTTTCGAGATTGGGCGTATCGTCGAGCGGGTGAGAGGGGGGTGGCAGGTTGAATGGGCCTGCCATGAAATTCAAAAGTCGGAAAAGTCGGGAACTCGATGCGACCGACGGCAACTCTTGCCCGTGCGATGAGCTTATGAGAAGTCATCGTCTAGGTTCCCGGCCAACCGGTCGACTCGCTGAACGAGCTCCTTTGTTTCTCTAGCGATTTCGAAGGCGATGGGCGGCAGAGTCTGCGTCCACATTCTCCACTCCCGATCGTTGCGTCCGCTGGCGCCCACGTCTAGTCCCCGGTCGATATCCATACCGCGATCACTGGCTTCCAGTAGTCGATCGCGGCACGCCATCAGGCGGGTAACCATGCCGCCGTTTCCGGAGGCGTCGGTCTCGGAGATGACCTTGTCAACGACTTCAACAATGCCGTTAATCTCGGATGTGATTTGGTTGATTGATGCATCGCTTCGGATGGAGCCGACCAGGTTCTGGATGTTCTGGACCAAGATGGCGGTTTGATCTTCGAGATAAATCTTGAGATCTTCGGCCTGGTTCTGTTGGCGCATGCCGTTGCCGTACCCATTCATCGGTCCGTTCTGATTCATCCCCGCAAAGCCCATCCCGCCCATCCCGTTCATTCCGTTGGGCCCTCGAGACTGGTATGCGTCTGCTGACTGGCGGGGGGAATTGACAGGGCTGTAAGCGGAGGAATCCATGCTGGTCCTGCCACCGCCCAGGCCCCGAAATGGCGCCACCGCCGGCAACGATTCCTGTGTTATCGAATCCTGCCTCGAAGCAGTCCTGGGTGAGAAGAAGCCCGTCGAGTCCACAGGCGTGACCGTACCGTCGTCGTCGTCCTCAAGCTCCTCAGCGGGAGTGGACCGAATCTTGGCAACCCGAAGGATGTCGACAATAGCTGCAACGAGGTGAGTGGCAGCGGCGTCGAGCAAGGACACTGGCGTGATGCCGGCCGACGAAGCGAAGTTCTTGGATGTTGTGATGAGGTGGTTGGCGGTGGAGGAAACCTTGCCCTTGAGCTTCGAACGCTGTTGGAGGAGCTCCTCGTTGCCGGCTGCCGCCGTGTCGATATCCTTAGTGATCCGGCGAACGCCGACGACAACTTGCTTCATAGCGTCAATGACTTTGTCAGGGTCTTCCGTTCGGGCGCGCTGGAGTAGCTCGTCGATGGCGATCTGGAACTTGGTAACATGGACGTCCTTAACCGCGCCGCCTTCGTGGGCAAATCCCTTCTCTCGGACGTACTTGGCCGCGTCCTGTTCAACAGTCAACCCGAACGAGGAGGCGCGCATGTTGCGAAGCTGCGTCTTGGTCCGTGCGTATCGGTTCCGCCACTCGCGAACCTCTGCTTCGAGTTGTTCGATCGTTTTCTCCAGCTCTTCCTGCTTTTGCCAAGTCGAGCCACTCTGTTGCGAGAGTATCTTCATCTCCCGGAGGAACTCCCGAGCTTCGCGCCGAGCCTCTTCCGTGACCTGCTGTTGCTCTCGCAGAGCCGCGCGCAGCTGTTCGTTTTCCATTTGCAGCTCCCGGTCTGCGTTGCCAGAGTTCATGTTGGCGGCGGCCGCACCGGACTGCCGCAGTTCGTCCAACTGCTCTCTTAGTTGCCGGGATTCGTTGGCATGGTCGTCCCTCATGCGATCCAGCTCTTGCTTCATTGACGCGTTCAGGTCCTGAGCTTCGGCGAGCTTGTTCTCCAGGCTCAACCGGAGATCAGCCAACTCTTTCTTCTCCGAGTTGGCGGCTGTTGATCGTGATCTCTCTCCGTCCAGAATATTGTTCATCTCGTCGTCCTTCTTCTTCATCGCATCTTCCATGGCGTCGAGCTTTTCCCGCAGTTCGCGAACTTGTGACTGGTACTCATCTAGGAGCTTCTTGTCGGCCTGTCATTCGTGTTAACGTCTCCACCGGAAACATGGAATAGGACGGGTAAAGACCACCTCTGATGCCACAGCGCTCCGCTCTGTCACTTCACTTCTCTTGCTGCGATTTGTGGCAGTCCGTTCAAGGCCAAACTCTTCGGCGTCATCGTCGTTGGGACTGCCGTCGTCGTCCTCTTCCACCATTGTGCTCTTGTTTGGTACGATTGTGTTGCTCTGGAACTGCTTCTGCATCGGACGGTTATAGTCGCCATTCGGCGGCATGCCTGGCGAAGGCGGCACGCCGTAGGGGTCGGGCGGTGGTGGACCTCCCCTCATTGAGCTGGCGTCGGAAGGCCGGCGCATCCGACTTTGACTCCGGGGAGGGTAGCCATTTCCGTTGACTGTGGCTTGTGAGCGGACCGATACGGGGCTGCCCACTCTGGGTATGTCTCCAGCAGCAAAGCGGGGAAACCTCCTCTCCAGTTCGCAGAACACGTCAGTCGCGAGATCACGGAAGCGCGGCGGTCCAAGCGAGGACAGCTTCTGCCTCGCCTGATTGCGTTTTGGATGGAAGTTGGATTCAGGTAGCAGGTAAGGGGGGGGAGCGGGGGCGCTGGGGGCCGAAGGTCGGCGGTTAAGGGATTGCCTCCGCAGCAGCTCGTCGAAGACATCAGTACTTAGTTCGAGGAACTGCACAGACGACAGACGCAGCAGCTTGTCGCGAGCCTTGTTCGGGGGTGTGGGCTTCCCTCCTTGGCCGCCATTCAGATAGTTCTTTAGAGCGACGTAGTGTTCAGCGAGTATGCCCTCGGTTTGCTCTTCGCGGATGCTCCTCCCGCTCTCACTCCTCGCATACAAGTTTGTGCCGTTGCTGGATCGGCCGACAGAGGGCGGCGGGGAAGGGCCGCTGGCGCTTCGAGGCCCGGGAGGGAAGCCTCCGTTCATGGCCCCGTTGGGGCCGCCGGAGTTCGGGGGCGAAACGATGTTGCCACGATTGCTTGCGTACGGGTCGTCGTTGTTTGGGTATTTGCCAACGGACCACTCGCTACCACCTAGGGAAACAGGTGACAGGGGCGCATTGCGACCGTTCATGATAAATCTCGAGATGCGTTGGGGTAGGGAGCTGTCGCGTGAAGAGCAGGAGACTGACTACCCAGAGGGAACGAGGACGCGGCGCAGTGAACAAAGGGAGTGTCGAGGTCGAGATCGAGGTCGAGATCGAGGTTGGAGGATGGGCGTTTCAATTCGATCGAGGGTAGTAGCAAAGAGGGCCTTTTTCTTGTTCCACTCTGCTGCACACTCTTCTCTGCTGGCGGGTGTGTGACGGGATCCTAATCCAAGGAAGAATACGCTCGTACCCAAGACTGGGTCAAACCTCCAAAGTCAGACCAAACACGTACTGTGTGTGTGTGTCGCAGAAACCTTTTTTTCTCTTCTTTTTTCCTTCTCTCTTTCCGTTGTGTTCTCGTCCCCCGTCGGCTGAAGGTTATGTCTCAAGGTGGAAATGGTCGAGGAATGCGTCAACTGGCGGTGTCGATGTCTCGCTCGGGGGTGGCGCGATGGGGGGTGAAGGAGGAAAAAAAAGGGTTCCTGCGTGGCTGCTCTTGTTCAGATTGGACCGGAATTGCGACACGGCATGACAGGGCTGGCGGGAGGATGCCGGGTCGAATGGGGATATTCGGAAGCGGTACACAGTAGGTTGACGAAAGGGGATGCAGGGAAAAAAGCAAATGCCGCAAAGAAGCAATGGGACGAAATGTTGCAGCCACCAGTAAGTAGTCAGGTACAGACTGCAAAAACAAGGACAAAGCAGAGCCTGAATAGAGCAAAGTAGCGTAAAAGAAAGGTTGAGGGTAGCGCGCGGAGAGCAGAACAAGAGCAGAACCCGCGACGGAGGTGGTGAGGCATGAAACGTCAAGGTGACTGACTGGCTGGGACGCCTTGGCCAATGGACGGACCGGGAGAAGAACAGGTGCTCGGGGGGGGGGAGGGGGGTTGAAAGGGCAAAAGAAAAAAAGGGGGGGGAGTACACTAAGATCTAGGCCGCTAGCGAGAGTTCAGTTAGTGCTGCTACGGGGATTTGGACCGGGAGGTATGTGCTGCAATGTGGACGCCGTGGGATGGTAAATTAGGTAGGTACCTTGCGTGTGTATGTATATGTGTGTTTATACGGAGTATTTTGTGCACGGTTGTGACGGGAATGAGAGGAGGAACTTGGCGGCGGTAATGGATTGATCTGGGTGCTGGAGCTGGCACGCAACTGCAATGGAATCATGGATTGGCACGTACTGGGGACCTAGAGGCTAGAGCCAGGGAAGGGAGCGAAAGGGAAGGCGAAGGACAGGGGGGTGCAGGGGGTGTGGAGGAGGGGAAATGACACTGGAGAACAGCCGCTGTTGTAATGAGTCTCGCAACACGAAATGCCCTGGCAGTTGTGCACATGTTGATGTCCATATTGATTTGATGGAAAACAGGGCCTTGCTCATATAGCGATGCCCATTTCCTCTTTTGTGTCTGGTCCAGATGCCTGCCTGATGGCGCCCATATGATTTCCTATCTATCCTTGGCCATATCGAGAGCAATGGTCGGTGGCCGTATGTGCAAAGAGTATCCTATCCGTACATGCATGAAGAGCAGCAACCAAGGCACGATATCCGGCAAGAATGCCGAACCTGGAAAACCAAGAATCTGGCCATGGTTGCGATGAATGACGCAGTGGTAAAGAAACCACTCGGTTGGTTTTTTTTTACTTCTTGACTGTTTTTTGTAAGTTCCCTCAGATACTATCCTATCCGTATGCTGGCCTACTATGTACGCCGGTGGGTGGTGCCATGTCATCATAGCATCCAGCGGCTACCCGGCAAACAAGCAAGCTTCAAACCTATGTTTCTTATTTCCCCATATCGGGCCTCGAGAACGCAACCCGAATTGACTCAACTTGAAGTTAAGCGAGCAAACTGCCTTCACATGGGCCGACAAGACGTTGGACTCTTACAAAGCCAGAGACCGGTCAAAACAAGCTAATGCTGGGTGGAGACGGGCGAAAAGAGAAGGCCCAGGCATCGCATGGTCCCAGACTTCAAACTCTTTCCAATGTACAATGTATGAACCTTGCTTGCAACGTTAGGCCTCCAGCTTCCTTGCTCGCTTGCTTGCTTGCTTGGAACGCGGCATAAGCCGCCCTCAGCATCCGTTCGCGCTTCTGAACCCTTCCTTCGTCCGGGCAGTCGGATGAGGGCTTTGCTTTGAGGCACACGAGACACGCAGGACCGAGCCCTACGGGATCATGATAGGAACGGAGAAGGGGGGGGAGGGAACGAAGCGCACCGAGAAAGAAATAGGCACAATCCGGATCCCCCCCCCCCCATCCACGATCTTCTCCCTCTCAAGCCAGCGTACCCCTGAGCTCCTGCCAGGATGTGTGGGTTTCGCTACTACTCTGCGCGGGTATTGGCAGGAATGAACCAATGCCGACTGCCACTTTAACGTTGTTGCCCTCGACATGTACAGTACGTACCGCTCCGTGACGGGAACGATTCGCGTGCGTTCGTTCATTCATCCATCCATCCACATGTGGTCTCCAATCGATCCAGTGTAAACTTCCCTTGAACCGCCCGTTCCCCTTTCGATCTCGTCATCGAGTCCTCTCATGCTAGCTAGCTAGTTCATGTGTGTGCCTCCGCGCATCGCCCATCCTTTCCCAGGTACCCGTCCCTTATGCGACCCTGTGCCTGCACCACACTTAGCTATCATATAGGGCCCAGATCTTGACGACCAATGCAGCCTCTCCCCTGCTTTGAGCAAATACGTTAACCACCGTTGCACCGATGGCGCAGCCCAACCCCCGGCTATTGCTTCTCTGTCACTGGCGCGCGCTAGCATGCAAATTCCAAAGGGTGGATCTTCGTCAGGGACCTGGCCTGTCGCCCAACGGTGGCAGTGTCTGTCTGCATGGGAAATGGACAGGATCTGGAGACAACGACATGGGGCCTCGCCGTTGTGCATTGGCCATGCGGACGTGCCCTTTCCCTTTTCCCTTTGGAACCCCCCGGCTGACATGGATGGCTTTTAAGCATGGTGGAGATGCGATTTGCTTGCGTCCCTGCGCGAGTAGTGGGTTCAGCATGACCGGTTCCGTGCCCATGACATGCCGTTGTCGAGGTGAGCGAAAAAGACGGGCCATATGCTCCCCCCCTTCTCTCGCTGACGACTCGCTGACGAACGGTTCATACTGCCTGCCGCACGAGTAGTGTGCTACGTACTCTGCACATCACATCAGCAGCTGCTTGTCGTTCGCCTTGGCCCTTTTTTGGTGCCCGCGGACGCGGATGCGGGTTGGCTTTAGCATCCTGCCCAGACTCTTGGCCTTGCTTCCAGTGGCTGCTGTGATCAACGCACCAAGAGACTGTCAGCGCCGCAGTCCAGGGTAGGGTAGGATGCAGTTTCCAGTGCGGTCGGTGCCGTACGAATAAACTAGAATACCCGGATCCCATCGAGAGTTCATTCCTGAATGGGCTTCTAGAAAATGGATGCCCCTTGTAAAATCACCCAACCCCCCGTCCAGCCGCAGTCGGTGTCGGAGCCTCGACCGGTTCTCTTTGCCCAGGCCCCATGCGCCGTTTGATTGCCGCTAAGATTACGCCTCGTCTGGACCGCCCTGCACTTTCCTACATTTGCTTGGATAAAAAAATAAAATAAGACCACAGGCTCGACCCTTTTGGCCCTTGTAGGCTGTTGCGAAGAGGGATCCCCCGTCACAAAGCAAGCGCCTCGAGCCTTCGGGCACAAACGCCGATCACCCTGATGTCGGTGATCGGCTGTCTGTACACCACTTTCGCGGGCATCCCGTACCCGGGATTCAAGCATGACCCCCGACTCGGCTGCCTCTGAGGGTTTCCCTGCCGAGCCGACCACTCCATGCCCGGGTTCCAAGTGGGGAGGAAGCGGATGGGGAGGGGCGACGTCTAGCCGTGAGGTGAGGCTCTGGGCGCGACGTGGAACATGGCATCTTCAGACCGCATCAGCCCTTTGTCCGACTTTGGGGGGCGGGCAGCAAGAGAAGTGAGCGATGCAAGAAAATGCACAGGAAGCGAGTCGGCCATGATACAAACTGCATGATAAGTACATTACCAGGTCAAAAGTTTGTTTACAGCAAAAAGGATAACCCAAGGAAGAGTCGAAGAGAGGACCCATTAATAGCTCGAGGTCACTTCACAGTGCGCCACAAAGGCCTTATGCCTTAGCCATCCGCTGTAGCTTTTGATTGGCTGTCCTTATCGCTGTAAACAGACTTTTGACCTGGTTCTGTAAAGTCTCTCTCTCTCTCTCTCTCTCTCTCTCTCTTTTTTTCCCCTTCCGCGTGTTACTCCGTATAATGCCCATTTTACGCGGCTCGCGTGAGGCCGCGCCCCACCGGCCCAAGCATTCCTGACCCCCTTGTGATATGCAATGATGTTAACGTTCAAATTCTCCCCTTATCCCAATATGCGACGGGTCCATGTTCAAAAATCGCAGTCGTTTCATAAACCATACCACACAGCCTTGCTTCCCTGTCGGGCCAGACGTGTACCGGTGAGCTGTACGGATATCTCCTAGAAAGAAGAAAAGGAAGAAAGGAAGGGGGGGAGGGTCACGCCCAATAGCCTCTCCTCCTAGTTCACTAACCCCCCCCCCAAACGCCAGTCACCGTCCGCGGCAATTTTATCAAACATTTGACACAAGCTCACGGACCAGCAACCAGCTCTAAAGGAGGAAGACCAAACACGCGACCACAACGGCGGGAGTCGCACCACGGAGCCGCACTGCTGCTCCCCCCCCATACATGCCGCGCCGTTGGCCTTTTGCATACCGAGTCTCGAATCTGTTCCCTCTTCGTCGAATCTCTCGTGTGTGGGGGGGGGGGGGGGGGGGGGGGGGGGGGGGCGAACGGTCAACGGTTAACGGTCAACGCCGCAGCAGGTTCGGGGGCTCCGACCGTGCATGCATCCGCTCCTTCCCGGGGCTTCGCGATTTGAAACTTGCCTCGACCGAGGTTGAGCTCGAAACGCGGCCTCACATGGCTTCTGGGGTTAACAGACGGTAGCGAAACGCTGTGGAACCGTTCTCTGGGGTTCGTCAGGTCGAAACCACAAAAAAAAAAAATGATGAACCGTGCAATGAGAAGGTGATGCGCGGCAGGATTAGGAACTCATCAAGGATGGTTATTGTTCATGTTCGTCGTTATAGTTCGTTTGTCTGGTCCTCTCCCCGAGCTTTGCTCCCCAGTCGGAGGAGCTGCTCTGGAACATGCTCCGTGCTCCGTCTCTCTCCATGAATCGCACCTACGACACCAACCACATGTGGCACGTCTCAAAGGGCTCCCCGTCAACAATGAACACTCGACGCCTCCTTGTCGCTGTTCCTGACCCGCCAGCTATCGTTTTACCTCTGCTGCCACCCCAAGGCATGCCGACTACACCCAGCAGTACCCTGGTGCTTCCTCGCTCGATAGTGGTATCTCTCGACTCCCACATAGACGGCTGGTCAATAAAGGCGCAAGCTGGATTCCTGTTCCAGCTTCCCCATGTTCACTTTACACGGTCCTTCTGGACTGTAACATGCATCGTCCTTGGACACCGCAAGCCGACTCGTGGGTCGGAGCCGGACAAAGAGCTCTGGTATTGATATCGACGTTGACATCACAAGCCTGTTCGTCGCTCGGATCGGTGATATCAATATGTTGCAGGAGCCCCGCAAGGGATGAATGGGCCGATGTGATGTGTCGTTCGCTTCGGTCCGTTCCCTCATGTAAGCGACAAAAAAAGCTTTTCCCAACCTGCCGTCTGGCTCCCAACACCCGCTCAAAACCAAGCCAATGTCCAAACAGCCGGCAGATGCGGCCACCGATCCTGCCACGCGGCCAGGATATCCGGAACCCTCTCGTCGAAGCTCGCACGGCTAGAAGCGCTGCCGCTGTCGAACGCGGCGGCGCCAACGGCCTCGCGCTCCTCAACGGCGGCGGTGTTCAGGGAGTTTGCGAGGTCGAGAATGGCGCGCCCTCCGACGCTGGCCTCCTCGTGGTTATCCTTGATGTCGACGTTGATGACGTGGACGGGGCGGTTTAGGGGCGCGCCGCGGTTCATGAGGTCGTCGATGACGGCATCCCAGCAGCGCTCCTCGCAGGTGACGACGATGTCAACAACACCGCCCTCGACGCCGACGCTGCCGCGGTCTTCGGTGTGGTTGAGGCGTGGCATGCCAATCTGCCAGTCCTGCCAGCGCTCGGGGCCCCATTTCACATGACGGTTGCGGTCGACCATATTGAGGACGCCATTGGCGCGGTAGAGCCGCGGGTCCTTCGACTCGAGCTCCTTGAAGATTGAGTCGTATGATGTCTTGTTGAAGTGGTAGACATTGGGCTGCGTAATCGAGGGACCAGGCAGACGGACGAGGGACCCGGTGCCGAAGGAGATGACGGGGTAGTTTGCGTTTGCAAGTCGAAGGTGGGAAACCATTGATCTGTGGGAAAATGACTAGGTTAGACCGTTGTTCACTGCGCCGCTGACGCGAAGAAAGCATACGGCGCTGCTGCGACGGTAGGTTGGTGTTGACGGGCAGGGCAGTAAGCCTCACGTACCTATTCTGGTTGCTGGCACAGACTGTGCAGAACTTGAGCTTGAAGTCTCCAGTCCCAGACTCACTGCCGTTGTTAGGCGTTGTCGCGTCCGCCGCTGCTGTCGCAGCTGCAGCCTGCGCGGCGCCAGTACCATTCACGACCTCCATTATGCCCGTGATGTTTGCAGAGGGTATGGTGACAATTGCACGTAAAGTAACGATGATGGTGGGGTTCTTGGAGACGGATCGAGCTCTACGAGCTTCGAATGGGTATCGATGGGCAGCAGTCAATAAACGAAGAGAAGGAAGAAAGTGGGGCCGGAGAAGGGCAAAACACAAAAAAAAAAAAAGGAAAACCGCGGCTTGTTGGTTAGTCACTCGAAATCGCGGCGGGCGTGGCTCGTTCGTCTGCCGGTCGTTTGGGGGGATAATTTTGATCTGTGTCTTGAATTAGCCAAGAATCCCGACATATTCAAATGCTTTCCACTGCAAATCAGGTTTATCGCGATATCAGACAAAAAGCGTATACGGTATAAAGTGTGTCAACATGGGGATTTAGACAGCTCCAATAATAAAAGACTCATCATGCGAGGTTGCTCGAAGGCATATTTGTGCTCGAGTTTTGCCTTACCTTTTGAGAGGAATTGATCGAACCAAATTCGTGAATGTGTGGGAGTAAAATATCTATCTTGTCCTTGCCTCCTCGAGGGTGCGTGAAACCCAATACCTATCTTCAGTTCAACGTTGCCAGTCGTGGCTTTGAAAGCTCCAAAGCCGACGAGTGTTGTTGATGAAAGGAAAAGTTTTACCAGAATCGCAATGACGTTCTTTATGGCTGGAGAAAATAACCTAGGCAGGCAGCTCGCTTTTCGGCTGAACGTCGGCCCATGAAAGGCAGACAGGGATCGCACGACCCTTTTCCCTGCCTGAGGCTCGTATGGCTCAACCAACCTCCAGGTCCACGCTACCTACCAGGTAGTCATCTCACGTGGCTGTTCCGAGTCCGCCCATGTGATTGGCTGTTAGGCGCTCGCAGATTCTGAAACAAACGACAGCGACGAGGGCACCAATCAGTAACAACTCCAAGCAGCCCAGCTGCAGATGCCGTGTGCAGCGCACACGGCCCAGAAATAGAACAGCCATTGAATGAGGCGACTTGACGGCGGATGCGTCTACCTAGAGTCTTGAGTCTCGGCTGGAGACATTTGTCCGCCCTCGGCGAGACGTGCACATATGTACACACGTCCTTGTCACGCGTGGTAGTACAGGTCGTACCTCACTCGCAGGCTCTCCAGTAGAAGCCACAATAAAGCTGGGCCAGCGAAATGGACCCTGACGACTCTGGTCCTCGGAGCGTTGACGGGCTAGACCTCTCTCTCTCACACAAGGGTTTGCGGTCAGCCCATCAGTCCAGTGTTAGGGGCACCTGTATGGTGCTACCCTTGGTTAAGAGCAGAATGGGTCTGATCGGAACACCTGTCTTTCTTTTGGGTCGACGGCTGAGCTGTAAACCCACCCTGCGCTGTGGCGAGCTTGATGCAGCGCTCACGCTTCCCGCTCGCTCTAGTCCTATTCAGGCTATCCAATGGTCCGTCGCATCCCTTCAGTGCTTTGCATGGTTGCTGCTGCCGCTGCCGCTGTCGCTGCCGTTCTCCAGATGCATTCGTGCGAGAAGAAAACTGATGGGCCAACGTCAATGGCAGTAGCCCGGCTGGAACTGTTGACAGGCGAGGGCTGAGGTTCGTCAACGACACTCGAGCCGCCGGATCATTTCCTGCCCATCCCCCACCATGTAATAACCAGAAACACCAGCGACTGCTTTTCTGCGTGGGGCCACGGGCAGTTAGTTGATGGCAAAACCAGGAGCTTCAAGGAGACCATGGATCAGCGTTGCAGTTTCACCATGCCTATTTCCACCCTGTGGACTGGGAAGGAAAACGCAATTTCGACTAACCCATCCATCTGTTAGCGGGTTGCCCCACGGTTGGCACTGATGTTCGGGACGATTCAGCTAATTGGATGGTGCTTGGCTAACCAACCGCTGGCTGTTTGTGCTTTAGGCTGTCCGCTCTCGGGCAAAAAGACTGCACGGATGGGAAATTTCCTGGGTATAGAGCTTGATGGTAGCATGCGGCACCATTGTGTAGGAAGGTCTTGGATGTATGTCCGAGTCCAATACCTTTGGGCATGAAGGGGATATTGGAGTAATATAGGTGACGGCTATGGCATGGGGTTCGATGCTGATCCTTGCCATCTCTTCCGGTTCCGTCTGTTCGCAACGTACGCATAGGTAGTTCACACTAGTTTTTATTATGAGCAGTTCCAGTTCCTTGTGATTGGCGCCCGTACGCAAAGATTCCCATCGTTATGGTTCGAACCATGAGGGCGAATTTTACGTCAGTGGGTGACCAGTCTGGAGATCCTGCGATTTGCGCCAGGGACGTCCTCGCTAATCAGCTGTGGGCCGGCCAGTATCGGACCATGGTGCGACCTGAACGGGAATCTGCGCCGGCCGGTGTTGAAGTGGTCAGTGTCGAATTTTTAATTGACAGCAGCCGTTGGTGGACCAACAACCACGCTGGGTACCGCTCTAGCCCTGTGCTGTTCGACAGGCTTCTTCCTTTTGGATTCTGTGATGGACCGTTGTGGGGGGGGAGTACCTACGCTCCGGCGGGTGATGGAACCGTTGGAAATGGGGAGAGGATAGAGAGGGTGACTAAATCTGTTGAATTAGCGGCAGCCGGAAAAGTGAAGACACTGCGAGTACGGATACATGATCAAGTACCATCTCGCAAGGCAGCAGCTGCGCGAATGCGTATCCGGGATACATGAGCCATGCCTCTACTCGAGACTTCGCCCGCATCTGGACCTGCACCTCTCCAGGTTGTTTCTTGCTCTGTCTGTTTACTTGCCCTAGGTACCCTACTGTATTTATCAGCATATCGCTGCTTTCGCCTGGCCTTCCATATTGGGCTGAAAGCCGTGACCGCCACCCCCCCCCTTGCGAGAACGAGCCGCAAAGCATCCGCTTCCCAGACAAGTCTCCAGATATTGTTACCCACGACCACAACGGAGGATATACCCTTCCAGTTCAGATCTACTATGTGCTGCTACCCAGGTGTGGCGGCAAGTTCCATAGTGTAGTTCGTCCTGCCGATTGCAGAAGCTGGCGCTGACTCGGTTCCAGGGCGTCTCTTTCTGTTTCTGTCATTTGCTGTTTTTGTTTGTTTTCTTTGAGAGAAAGAAGGAAGGAAGCAAAGAAGCAAAGAAAGAAAGAAGGGAAGCGAACGAGCGAGGTCCAAATCCTGTCCGAATCCCGCCCTCTAATTACCCCTCTCTTCGCCTCTTTCCCTCCCTTCTCGTACCTTGCCTTGCGTGCTTGCCTAACACCCCAACTTGTAGCTGTGTCCCTGCTGGTGGTGTTGTTTCTGCTGCTGCTGCTGTTGTCACCGTTCTTCTCTCTGCTGTGATCCTCTTTCTCTCCTCTCTTTTCCCGCCCCCTCACCTCCCAACACATCTTCCTCTCACTCTGACGCGCGCTCACACACACACACACACACACACACACACACTCTCTCTCTCTCTCTCTCTCTCTATCTTACAGAGACATCTGCGCCTCTCCCCACCGTCCCATTCCCTCCTTTCCCTCCTCGCTTCTCACTCCATCAACACCCCTCCACCCCTTCCTGCCATTTCCAGCCAACAGCCAGTAGGATCACTGCGCGACGCGCTTAGAGGCAGCAAGGTGCAGTCCCGGTGCGTTTGGGGGTCGAAGTGTCTGTTCTTTGCGTCCCTGAACTTTCCTTCTCAAGGTTACAAGTACCTTGGGATAGCCGATGAGTAAGTGGTCCGCCCGCTGGCTCCCTCGTGCAACCCTTCCCGAGGGGTGATTCTGTAGCTTGCTTGCTCACTGGTGAAAGGGTGCTCTAACAAAAGTACAATATCAGGGTACGTATACTTGTGTCCTTGGCTCAGGACCAATACCTGAGGTAGGCAGCTTGTTGCAGCCCATTTTGGTCCAGTCCAGTCCAATCTTGTGCTGCCTTTGGTGCGAAAAGGCACAGACGGCCGTTTCTAGCTGCGGGCCGGATACAGCACACTCCCACGTACACACATCCTCTCTCTGCCCGCCACACCCCCCCCTTCTCTCTCTCTCTGTCTTTCTCTCCAGGTATCGCGCCGTAGGTATTCCACTCCCTGTTCTGCCCTGTAGTACACAGACACGGGTGCTAGACAGTTTGCGGTCCCTCTCTTTTCCACACACACACCCTCCCGCCATCTCACCAGCAAAGCGACCTGGGACTTGGACTCTTTCTCTCTTCTCGCTGCGCAGCGGCTGCCCAGCACCAAAACAGCGCCAGCGACCTGAACCCAGACGGATTATTCCCAACCTCACTTCCTCTTCCACTCCTCCATACTTCCGTTCTTCTTCTCTTCTTCCATCCTTCTCCTTCCATCCGCTGCACCATTTGGCCCGCTTCGTTCTTCGACCCTCCTCTTGCTGCACGCCGAGCGACCCCGCGGCCCAACTTCCAACAGCACCCTTGCTCTTGGCTTTTCGTTCTCGACGCTCCTTCTTCAATTTCCAACCCACAGCGTCGCGTGCGACGACTTTCATTTTGCGACACCTTGCGAGCGAGCCTGCTTGCCGCCGCTACTGCTTTTCTCAACCCAAAGTTGTTATTTTTTTTTCGCCTCGTTCAAATCACGGTCCTCGCAGCAGCCCGCATACTTGGGCCAACCCGCTCTGCTCTGGCGGCGCAGTACAACCCTCGATTACGCCTGCGCATACCTTTGTACTCACTGCGGCTGTTGCCTGGCACTGGCTTCTTAGCAATCATAACCCCTCTTGCCCTTCAATTGTCGCCGGCAAACCACGGTCGGCTGTTCTGCGAAGAATTTGCTGCGTGGCTTGGTACGAGGCCGTCGGATCTGCAAATCGAGTGTCTTGTCATCCTCATGCTGGCTCCCCAACGTCTGCAATAATCTCAGGATGACCACGCTCTTGTCACAAAACTCCTCGCCCACGACATCCCCACCTGCTGCAGCTTCTCCCTCCGCCAACTCGAACCATCCCCCACTCCCGCCGCTAATAACATCACCGGTCACCCGACGATCAATCGCACCGAGACCAATGTCGCACGCTTCAAAGAATCGCCTGTCGCAATACTCGACGGGCTCCGTCCCGTCGCGTTCGCGACCGCCCTCTTACCTATTCCCAATTTTCACCTCGAACCTTCCCTACACTCTGGTGCGCGATTTCGCATATCCCATGATGCACCCCATGCACTACGGTCCCGTGCCAGAGCCGTCACATCCTGCTTCTGGTCTCAGCACGCCCGCCAGCGAGTCGCGCCGCCTCTCCGATCCTGCCGCCGTCTGGGAACCCAAAATGACCTGGGATGCCGGTTCTTGGGACGGTTTTGGCAAGGCCCGTGATCTGCCGCCGATGGAATTTCGAGACGGCCCACCGTGGAGCGAGGACGAAGATCTGGCGAGCCCTGTTGTTAGTTCTAGGCACCGAAAGCACAAGTCTTCTGCTGCGGCCTTTGGCGGAAGCTCCCGCTCAAGAATTTCCCAAGAAAACAGCAACGACGTGCTAAACCCTTCACTCTATGAGCAAGAGCGTGGCTTCTATGTCGGAACCGGCGGTGATGGCAGCGAGCGATACTATCTGAACCAAGGAGGGGAAGCAAATGGACCGGGCGGGGAATATGTCACTTACCCACCTGACGATGCGAGACATTCCAGCCATACATACCAGCTGGGTGACCTACCTCCTCGGCAGTACGCGGAACAGGAGGCTTACTCGGACGACTCCAGCTCAGCATCCTCGCCGGGTTTCCGCGGTGACGACCAATCCAGATACTCACGGGACTACCAATTCACCATTACCTCACCTGACGAGGAGATGCACGGTAAGGCCGTTGCCCTTTTCGACTTTGAGAGAGAAAACGAAAACGAATTGCCATTGTTGGAGGGTCAGATTATATGGGTTTCGTATCGACACGGCCAAGGCTGGCTCGTGGCTGAAGATCCAAAGACGCAGGAGAGTGGACTCGTACCGGAAGAATATGTCCGCCTGCTCCGTGACATCGAAGGCGGGATGAATAGCCTCACCGGAAATCTGGGCGAGGGATCAACTTCTCCAAATGACGTTGGAACCCCGACGCAAGCGGAACATCAACCCCAGGGTCACACACCAACCGGCAGCCAGTCTTCATCCAATGGTTATCACCAGCCCGTGGTATCGACATTCTCTACTTCCAGCAAAGACTTGGATCCATACCCCACTCAGCAACTCGGCATCCAGGCTGGACAACCCCCTCCCCAAGTTGTTCACTATCATGGTCAGAGAGGTGGCAGCCAGGCGAACACCCCTACTTTGGCTTCGCACCAGGACATCGGTACGATGCGTCGGGGCAGCCAGGATGTGATTGCGAAAAGAAGGGACTCTCAAATCAGCCCCTTGACGGAAACGATTCCAGAGAGCAGACTAGTAGATCGGTCGAGCACGCCAAAGGCCAAGACTCCCAGCGAGAAGCCCGCAGAGTCCGACGCCATGGAAACAGACCGGTGATATTGTTGGAGAGGCTGGCAAGGCTTTTGTCGCAGCGTGCGAGGAGGGCTAGATTTTTCTGTTCGGCAGATGCCTTTTCTCGGGGCATCTGCCATAAATATGTACTATGAGGAACGTTAGGGAGGAGCGTTTCTGATTTCGCTTTGATGATCAAGAGGCGTATTGTTGTATTTCAGGAGACATAAAGAGAGGAGCCCCTGGTCGGTCGCTTTCAGCATGTAGCTTGGATGACGAAGAATGTGGATGGTCATGGCCCCGTGGAAGGGCCCATTTGGGTTCAATGTAGAAGGAAGGCCGTAATGCTGGGCGGCTGAGCACCAGGCATCTGGCCACAACGCCCAAGAAATGTGGAATGGATTTTTAAGCTCAGCTCTCAGCATTTGAAGTTGAAGCTGCTTGCTTGTACATAATATATTGGGCGCGACCGCCGCCGGGGTTTTCCCCGTGCGAGGGGGATACAAACCAGCATACTCGGCATTCGGCATTTGCCCATTTTTTTCACCCAAAATACTATGACGCTGACCACCGTCCCAAGCGACCGAATCGCAACAATGCCCTTTGAGCACGTTGGCAATTGTGTCGAGAAATGCAACGCGGTTATCACTCCGGTCCGGCCAACGGAGGTCCAGGCACCGAGAAGGAGCTTGGGTGGACTCACGTGACATTTTACGTCATGCAATGCCCCCACCCCCCGACCGGATAGAGAGGTAGGGAGAGAGAGCTTTGCGGGTTGCCCGGCTTTAGAGCTGTTGTCTCGGATCCAAATCTACGCAAGCTTCCCGGCAACAAATCAGGCTTTCCCAATCAACCTCCACCTCTGTTCTCCCTCGACGCCAATCAATTGAACGATTCTCAACGGCTTGAAAATCTCAATCGAGCCCTCCATCGCAATGTTTGCTCGATCTGCTTTCCGGGCCGCGCAGCCTCTGAAGCTGGTAAGATGCTCAGCTCATTCCCTGCCTCGCTGCTGTCCCCCCCCCCCAAACTGAACTACCAGAGACTGAATCACCAGAACTAACCAGAATCCATCGTAACAGCAAGCCCGCCGCTATGCCACTGAGCCCACCAAAACAGGCGGCTCGAACGCGGCCTTGTACGCCGGCGCCGCGGCCGCCGTCGCGGGCGGCGCCTACTACTTCCTGTCCGGCTCTGCCCCCGCGGGCGCCCAGAAGGCCGAGGCCAAGGTCAAGGAGGCCGTTGGTGCGGCGCCCAAAAAAGCGCTGACCGGCGGCGACCAGGGCTTCGTGTCGCTCAAGCTCGACGACGTCGAGATCGTCAACCACAACACCAAGAAGTTCCGCTTCAAGCTGCCTGAGGACGATATGGTCTCCGGCCTCGAGGTCGCGAGCGCCGTCTTGACAAAGTACAAGGGCCCCGAGGACGAGAAGGCTACGCTGAGGCCCTACACGCCCACCAGCGACGAGGGTGAGTCTGCCCCCCCCTCACTGGATCCCTTCTTGACGACCCGTCTGCGTCCCCAATCCCCCCTTCTCAGACTAACAGCTACGCAGACGCGAAGGGCTACATCGAGCTCCTCGTTAAGAAGTACCCCAACGGCCCCATGTCGACGCACATGCACGACATGACCCCCGGCCAGCGGCTCGACTTCAAGGGCCCGTTGCCCAAGTACCCTTGGTCGCCCAACAAGCACGACCACATCGCCCTCGTCGCCGGCGGCACGGGCATCACGCCAATGTACCAGCTCGCGCGCGCCATCTTCAACAACCCCGACGACAAGACCAAGGTCACCCTCATTTTCGGCAATGTCACCGAGGAGGACATCCTGCTGAAGAAGGAGTTCGCCGAGCTCGAGAACACGTACCCTCAGCGCTTCCGCGCCTTCTACGTCCTCGACAAGCCGCCCAAGGAGTGGGTCGGCAACAAGGGCTTCATCACCAAGGAACTCCTCAAGCAGGTCCTCCCCGAGCCCAAGAGCGAGAACATCAAAGTGTTCGTGTGCGGCCCCCCCGGCATGATGAACGCCATCTCTGGCAACAAGAAGAGCCCCAAGGACCAGGGCGAGCTGGTCGGCGCTCTGAAGGAGCTCGGCTACAAGCCGGAGCAGGTCTACAAGTTTTAAGCGCGCGGGCCGTGAGACCGTCTGGGGAGCGTAGAGAGCGCTCTTGTTGGGAGAGAATCTGTGATGTGTGATTGTATGAATAGCCGAGGCGATAGAGGCACAGAAGCCATTGATCAAATGCTGATACATATCGGCCGATGAACATGCGCTCCATTTCACGTTCCATGATGACGGTGCAAGTGTATAGACCATGGCGGGTCGTATCCCGAAACCCCCGGTTCTTCTCACGTCCACCGAGTTCGGTTCGGAGGGGTTCCTCCCCTTCCCACAAAACGCTTTACATTTTTCACGAGATATGCATTTGATTGATGTACTATTTGCGAGTGTACGAGGAGATGGATCTTTTCGGCTGAAAAAAAGCTATGGAATAAAGAAGAGAGGTTTTCCAACAAGCGGTGTCACCAAAAACCAAGGAGATTGGGGGAGGATGATGGGTGTTTCAGTGAACCGGACGACGGGGGGCGTCACCGACCAAGCTTGTCGTTAGATGCTCTTGGTGGCGGAGGCGATGCACTCGTTGACGATGCCGGCCCACTTGAGGGCGTTGTCGAAGTCCTTGGCGTCGATGCTCTCCTGCAGACCGGGGAAGACGGCTGTAGTCGCGGATCAGCATTTGTTCGCGGAAAAGTGAAGCGAATACAAGAAAAGACTTTTGTGGGAAGTACTAACCTCCAGAGTACCCGGTCCAAAGGCCGGGCGCGAAGACGACGTGCTTGAACCAGCTGCGGCCGTCCAGGCCGGCGGGGTAGAGGAAGTGGCGCTCGAAGCCCTTGTAGGCCTTGTTGACGCGGACGAAGGCGAGGGCGACCCTGATGCGGCGCAGCAGGTTCCACCAGGGGATGCCGGCGCTGAGCTCCCAGTCGACCCAGGCGGCCGTGTCGTCGAGCTTCTCCGCCTTGGCGCGCAGGACGGCGACGGAGGTGCGGAGGACCTGCAGGGAGGCGCGGAAGCGGGACGGCGAGCCGCGGACGTCGGCGTCGGCGGCGACGACGCTCGCGCGGGCGCGGAAGAGCTCCTCGTCCGAGGCGGGCTCGGCGTCGGGGTCGTCGGCGAGGAGGAGCTTGGTCTCGACCTGGTCGACGTAGGAGTCCAGGGCGTCGGCGTAGTCGGTGGCGTTGAAGCGGATGACGGGCACGTCGGACAGCTCGGCGACGACGAGGCCGAGGATCTGGGCCATGGTGCGGTGGTAGACGAAGCCCGGGTCGCCAAACTCCTTCATCCAGTGGAACGAGTCGTAGTTGGAGTGGTACTGGTAGACGGCCTCGCCGTTGTCGCCGCCGAAGCCGAAGTCGAGCGAGGGGATGCCGGCGAAGTCCTGGAAGGCGGTGAAGTCGGAGCCCGAGCCCATGGTGCTGATGCGGCCGTCCCAGACGTCGCCGACCGTCTGGCCGGGGACCGTCTGGTTGGGGGACGGGACGAGCTGGGTGACCTCGCGGAGGACGCGGTGGAGGAGCGGCGCGGCCGAGGGGTTGAAGTTGGGGCCGCGGACGCCGACGTCGACGTTGACGTAGGCGACGGACGCGGCCGAGAGCCAGGGGAGGTACTCCTCCACCCACTCGGTGCTGCCGATCAGGGAGTACTCCTCGCCGTCCCAGCTGGCGAAGACGATGGTGCGCGTGGGCTTCCAGCCGCTGGCGAGGGCGACGCCGACGCCGCGGATGACCTCGTTGAGGACGGCGGAGCCGCTGTTGGGGTCGCCGGCGCCACCTTGCTTCGTGTCAGTGCTCGTGCCCAATGCAGATGGATCGTCTGACGACGACGACGGGCTCGACTTACCAGCAATCCAGGCGTCGCGGTGGTTGCCGACGACGACGACCTCGTGGGGGATGGTGCCGTTGACGATGCCGATGACGTTCCACAGGGGGGTGGTGGTGTAGTTCTGCTCGTTGTAGAGGTTCAGCACCACGTCGTCGGGGGTGGGGCCGATGTTGTACTCGACGCCCTTGTACTTGAGCCCGAGGTTCCTGTTCCAGTATTTGTTGAAGTCCGTCACGGGGGGGCCGTGGCCGTTGAGAGCCTTGAGGATGGGGAGGGCGTCGGCGTAGGAGATGGGGATGGACGGGATGGAGGGGGTGGCGTCGTCCACGGGGGCGCGGGGCGCGCCGGGCTTGGAGGGGTAGCCGGGGGTGGTGGGGTCTCCGGGCCGCTGGCTGAGGAATTGGGCGCTGCCGCGCTGGACGGCGCTCGGGTGGCGGGCAGGGCCGTTGGGGTAAGCCTCGTAGCCGTTCTCCTCGGTGACTTTGCCGTCGTCGCCGGGATCGCTGTACAGGAGCGCGCCGATGGCGCCGAGCTCCTGGGCGCGCTTGACCTTGAGGCCGCGGAAGATGCCGCCGTACTTGGCAATGACAATCTTGCCCTCGAGGCTGACGTTGGCCTTGACGAGGTCTTCGTAGTCCTGGTAGGTGCCGTAGTTGACGAAGACGAATGAGCCGGTCACGTTGCCGCTGGCGGAGTAGCCGTGGAAGGTGGGCACGCGGTTCTCCAGGCCGGAGGTGGGGTCTTCCTCGAGGGCGTCCTCCTCGAGAGCGGCCTTGAAGTCGACCTTCCAGGACGACTCTTCATCGTCCTTGGACTTTGAGAGCAGGGAGAGGCTGTGGTCGATGGGGTAGTTGAGGTAGACGTCGTACGAGACGATGCTGGACTGGACGCCCCACGACTCCCACTTTTCCTTGGTCCACAGAGCCTGGTTGAAGAGTGTAAGTGAGTTAGTTCCTTGAAGATGATAGATTCGACTTCATACCTGAGAGTAGTTCTGGCCCGCAAGGTGAGGCCCAGCCGTGTAATACTTGCTCCACTCCTCGGCCTTCTCAGACGAGGGCACCTCGAAGAGGATATTCTGCACCTCCTCATGGGTGATGGGAGCACGGTTGATGCTGTTGGACCAGGCCCAGCCGTGATGGTGGTGTCCGTGGTGGCGAGGGGGCTCGTCGAGGAAGAGGGCGATTACAAAGCAGAGGGACCAGAGGATGAGGGTGGATGAGAGGGCGATGGTGCAAAAGCGACGAAGGACATGATTCGGATAACGGCGGGGCGGCGCACCAATGTAGACATTGGTGATGAGCGGCGTCCGCTCGTTAGACATTTTTTCGTCGCTGCGCTTTCTGAGCTTGTGTTAGTATGGCTACCTATCTCTCGTGTGTGTGTGTATGTGCGCGCGCGCGTGGCTTGGACTTATGGTTTTCGAGTGATGAGAAGGAGGAGGAGGAGGAGGAGGAGGACGGATGAGACGCGTGTGGCTGACGATGATGGTTGCATCATTGCGGGCCATGCTCAGCCACGCCAGCTTAGACCAGGACTCCTAGATCACGAGGATGACGAGGCATGCGACTGAGGGCGCTACTTACTCGTTTGCCATGGTGAAAGCACTTTGACAGCAAATTGCCTCTGCGCGTTCTGGCCCGAGATGTCGTTGAAACAGAGTTGAGAGTTGAGTTGCTACACTACAAACATTGCGTGCTTTCGTCCATGTTATCATTATCAGCATCAATCAGTCAGTGCGGTTTGCCGATCGGCTGCCGCCGACTGGCAAAGAAACCTGATTGAACGGCTCTGGTGCTTTCACTGGGGCCCACCCCGCTCCTTCCTATCTCGGGCACTCAGGCGAAAGAGGGCCATTGCGGGCCATCGGCGGTCCGGTGCCGATTCTTGGCCGGAAGATTGGAGATGAGTAAAAACGAGGTCCTCCAACAAGGCACGGAGGTACGGCTACGGTTGATTTTTTCATTTATCTTTTTGCTATCGTTCTGCTCAGACGGGCCCCAGCATCCGTCCTGTGACGCCGCATCGACCGTCTCACGTTCGCGCTATTGATTAGGTCCAACGGCATAACAGGCGAACAGAGACACAGGGGACTCGTGACGTTTGGCCTGTTACATCATCTTATCTCTTGAACTGGGGTAAGCTTTGGCTAGGGAAACGCCATCGCCGCCGCCTGTCTTTTATCTTGGATTCGAGTCCACTCAGTAGAGAGAGGGAGAGAGAGAGATGAGACACACGCGCACACGCACACCACACACACACACTCCGCAGGGACGGGTAAAAGTACCGGCTAACATCGGCAATCAAGCAGTTGATTGGTGGGGTTCCGTCCAATCAGTCTTCTCGGTGAGCTCCTAGGCAACCACCACCGCCCAAACCTGGCGTTTCTGCGATCTCAATGCATTAGATATTGCCTGTGAGGTTTCGGTCTCGTCGTGTGTTTCCCATCTCGCAATGCGCGTGTGTGTGTGTCTCGGGGCGGTGGGCCCGCCCGCGACACAGAGTTCCGGAGGGCAGTTGTGTTGTCGCTGCTCTTCGCTGGCGCTCACAAGCAAAGGTCATCCCTGCGCAGCCACCTCGATCTGATAACTTAGCTTTGTCGCACTTTCCCCGATGCTCGGCCCCGGCTTCGGCGAAATCGGCCAGACGCCGCCGGGGAAGAAGAGGCCCCCACCGGCAAAAACTGGACGTCATGGCAATGGCGGGGGGGGCGACTTCGGTCTTCTCGACTCTTCTGCCCTTTTTTTTTTTCTTTTTTTTCCGTTCCATCTTTTTTTATTTTTACTTTGAGGCGGATTCTTAGAAGAGCATCATCATCTGCTCCTGGTCGGATTATCTGTACACACCACCGGGCTACAGCGAGAACCCCTGCTTTTTTTCACACCACCCTCACCGACTCGCTATTACCACTACAGAATACCCTAGTAAACGCCTCTGCCGACAACGGACGGTCTTGACAACCTCGGAGCCTTTCAAAGCATTACGCCGGCTAACCCCACTTACGACATTTTCCTCCCTGCCACACTGCCTGCCCGCTGCATCGCTTGGCCCGGACCAACTGCTTTTTCTTATTTTGCCCCAGCAACAGGGAATCGCCTTCGGCTCGCAGAGCCTTGAGCCCTGAGAGACGTAGGAGACACGCGACACCATACAAGCCAGACCAGCGTCTCCTGGGCATCGCACTCGATTGTACAAAGTACCCGAGACACACGGCATCCATTGCCGCAATGCATCTCGACCATTTTTGCTCGCGTCTCGCGCTCGCCATTGGCACTTGATCCCTAATGCGGTATGCGCTAGGATGTCGTCGCAGTTGTGTCCTTCGTAGCTCGCTCGCGTGTACGAATGCCAAGTCAGGGTACCGCAGGCGGGAAATCCCACCTCCCACTTCACAATCTATACATCGCACTAGCAGTGCTAATCCCCAGGGGGCGAGGCCTTCCAAGTGCCCCGTCTCCATCCCCAAGCAACCAAGTGGCTCACCCCTCCATGGATAACCGCACTTCTGACCAGTAACCGTATGGGATTCTTTCGTCAGCAGAGGCGCGGGGATCAGCGTCGAGCAACACAAAAGGGTCTGGTCCGGTCCCTTTCCGCTCTCTTGCGGCCTACGACCTCCTGCAGGAAGCTGGGGGGCATGACTGCTATTCCCTGTCCAGTGCAGTGCAGCCGCGAGCCTGCAGATGGAAAGTGGGGTATTACAGTTGTTTAGGTTTTTTTCTTTTCTTTTTTTCTTTCCCTTCTTTCCGTCTGCGCTCGACGAACCATTCATTACCTACTTTGTTTGCCCGGGCTGTGTGTGTGTACTTGTGACTCTTCCCCTCCTCTCCAATTCTCCAAAAGTCTTTGCTTTAAAGTGATTGACCACCCTGCTTCCTTTTATGCTCCGACCTGCTCGCCTTCGACATCATACTGCCATACCGCATCACGCATATAGACTTGCTGCGTTTTTTCGGAATCCCCGCTCTGAATCCTCGGTTTCGGCCCCCTTGCCCAAGACCTCGCATCACAGCCTGGACTTCCCACGAACTTGTCCAGTAGTTCCTGTGGTTTCCTCGGGCCGCTTGTCCCTTTTTCCAGCGTCATCATGACCAAATCAACGCAACCAAAGTTGCCGGCCAAGCAACTGGCCATCCTGGGTAAGATGCCCTCATATTTCAGAACATGTCCCAGCGATTGCTTTTGACTGCCCTGGTAACAAACCTCGATTCTCTACGGACGACGTCAAAGTGCTGGGCAAGTGCCGATGAGCCAAAGCAGGTCGGCGGGAAGCGTTTGTAAGCAAACTCGGGAACACGCGGCGGGAGGCTTTGTGGGAGTCGTGGGGTCGCATTTGCTGGGATCGAGAGCTCTGGGACCGGTTGGATACCTGCATGTTTCGCCATATTGCCGCCGGCCTGTCCTTAGCCACACACATACCTCAAGAACCTACCTCGAAAATGCGACGCAAGCGTGGTCCTGATCATTCAAGGTGCCTGATCACTGTGAACTGTGGAGGTCGACTACGTCATATGAGCCCAAGGTGGCCGCGTACGTCGAGGAGGACATAACACAAGGCCTCGACTACAACTCGGCATACCTCATGGCCGAATGCTGCCGGTTAATGAGCTTTCAGTGTAATGCTAACTCTACAACAGCTATTGCACGGTTCGCGGAGCCTCTCGCGTTGACATCAGTCTTTCCCTACCTCCCAGAGATGATTAGGAGTTTCGGCGTTGCACAAAACGATGTCGCAAAATGGGCCGGTTACACGTCCGCCGTCTTCTCCCTTTCTCAGAGCGTGACCGCCGTTGCGTGGGGACGAGCCTCCGACCGGGTCGGGAGGAAACCGACCATCATTGTCGGTCTTATCTCGACCATGGTGTTCTTCGTCGTCTGGGGTATGTCCACCAGCCTACCGATGGCCATCGTCGTGCGAGCCATCCTGGGCAGCGGAAACGGAAACGGTATGTGCAGCTCCTGTTGCTTGCCTTCTGTCACGGGGTGCGCGGAGTGCTAATGCCACGCTTCAGTTGGAATCATCAGGACCATGGTTGCTGAAATGGTCCCCGAGAAGGAATTGCAACCCCGGGCGTTCTCCATCATGCCCCTGATCTGGTCCGTCGGCTCCATCTTCGGCCCAGCCTTTGGCGGTTTCTTCGCCAACCCCGCCCGCCGTTTCCCCTCGGTGTTTGGCGACAGCTGGTTCTTCAACGCGTACCCGTTCGCTCTGCCCAACTTCATCGCCGCCGTCTTCTTCCTCATCTCCGTCGCCACCGCCACCCTCTTCCTGAAGGAGACGCTCGAAAGCAAGCGTCACAAGCCCGACTGGGGCCTCGTCCTCGGCCATCGCCTCACCCGGCCCTTCCGCCGCTCCCGCCCTCCCACCTACCACCGTCCCAACGTCCGACGCACCTCCTTTGTCGACGGCGAGGCCACCGCGCCCTTGGTCCCCACCAAGGTGAACTCCCACACCAAGGACCCCAAGCAGCCCACGGAGGCGCCGAGCATGAAGGAGGTCTTCACCGCGCAGACGAGCATCAACCTGCTCTGCTACACCTTCCTCGCCCTGCACTCCGTGGCCTTTGACCAGATCCTTCCGGTCTTCCTCAACTATCCCGTGCAGGCCCACACGCCCGACAACACCCACCTGCCTTTCCAGTTCTCCGGCGGCTTCGGTCTCAGCTCGGACCGCATTGGCACCATCTTCACCATCTACGGCATCACCTGCGGCGTAATCCAGTTTTTTGTTTTCCCTCCTCTGTGCAATCACTTTGGTGTCCTGCGCTGCTTCCGCGCTTGCGGTGCGTACAGCCATCCCTCTGTTACTGGTATGACCTTGGCTAACAAACATCCCCAGCCATCACCTTCCCCGTCGTCTACATGCTCACCCCCTACGTGGTCCTCTTCGAGAGCAGCACCGGCCGCTACGCCGCTCTCATGGCCGTCATGTTCGTCAAGGCCTTCGCCGTCATCGTCGGCTTCCCCTGCATGACGATCCTGCTCACCAACTCGGCCTCGTCGCTGCGCATCCTCGGCACCCTCAACGGCTTCGCCACCATGTTCAGCGGCTTCGGCCGCGCCTTCGGGCCCGCGACCGCCGGCGCCGCCTTCAGCTGGGGCGTCGCCCGGGGCTACATCATCGTCGCGTACTGGTTCCTCGCGCTGACGGCGCTGCTCGGCGCCATCCCCATCTACATGCTCTTCGACTACGACGCTCTGACGCAGACGCCCGACGCGAGCGATGACGACGAGGCGGAGGAGGACGAGAGCGTCAGCGACGAGGGATACGCCAGCGAGGGCAGCGGTGTCGTCGCCTCCGGCAGCGGCCAGGCCGCGCCGACGGAGACGGCGCCACTGCTGGGCGCGAAGAACGGGCCGGAGGGGTACGACGCCGTCAGCCCTTCCCGTTCGTAGAAGGCGGCCGTCTATTCGCGGCATGCAGAGATCCCCCCCCCTTTTTTGGCCTTTTTGTTTTCTTTTTTGGCCATCGAAACAGGCTTTCGAAGATGAGACGCGAAACACGAGATCCACGGCCCCTCTTATGATTGAAACATTCCACCCCCATCCATCCACCGGCATCAGTTTTGTTTCTCCTCGTTTGGTTTGCTATTGGAAAGGGCAGGACAGGAGGCATATACATTCAAGGCCATCCATTCGTTGCTGGCATCTGGCATGGGCAGGGAAGGCTTTTGCGATCATTGTTGTTCCGAGGGACTACCATAAAAAAGCATTGTTCACTGGATTTATTTCGGAGGGTTTTTTTTTTCTTTCTAGCTCCGTCCTGGCGGCATCTCAGCGGGTAATACGATTCAGCATGCATGACGCATGGATGACATTTTTCTGGGTTCTTTCCCCCCCCCGCGATGGAACCCCCCCGAGTCATCTAACAACCAACCATGATCGTGTTACGAGGCCTCTCTTGTTCATCTCTGCCCGTGTCCGTGTTTCCCAAACATGTGCGTGTGTCTGTCTTGATCGGTCCGAACCAGACCACTGTTGTGAGTCGGACCGTGTGAGTCGGGAGATTTTTTCTCTTCCCCCCCCCCCCCCTTCCCTTTGCCTGGAAGGTTGAATCTGTTCAGCTCGGCCAGTCGGAAGGAAAAGAAAGGGCCTGCTGGCGGAGATGACAAACCCTTTAGTTACCTTTCTGAGCTGTAGAAACCTTCTTGTACTTGATCTAGGCGACCCGCGTAGGCTTGAGAGAACTCTCGAATCGCGACAGGGCCCCCCCACCCCCTTCGGCGGCAACCCGAGTAGTATGCGGACAACCTGACGGCTTTGTCACTTTCCAAATTCCCGTCATGTTCTCCATCGATGTGTGCATGATCTCTCTCTTTTCTGACCTGTTGGTCGATCACCCGGGACCCGGCGCCCTGCGAGTGCTCCGGGTCTTTCGTCTCGCTGTCTGGGGATACCTGACGAGACTTGTGAGCACCTCCCCCCCCCATGACTATCTCGCAGAGGATGAGTATGAGGCTGTCTTGGATGAATCCGAGGCTCATTGCTTCGTCGGCAGGTGGAGCATCCTTCATCGCTTGGCCGATTGGAAACGAACCTGGGCCCGAATCATTGTCGATGAGGCCCACCAGGGCAAAAAGGATGATGGCAAAATGTTCCAGAATCTCATCTGTGGGCAGTCCAACGCGATATGTTTCGTCTCAGCAATTATCCTCGCCAACTATATTAGAGACCTCACCGTCCTCATCATAACACTTTACCGTAAGATGTGGGCAGGGTTTGAGGACAAGATTTAGACGGCCCCCGCGCGAGCTGACATGGGCGACATGATCCTCATGTACTACCCAAAGTACGACCCGGAGGCCGAGGTCACGACTGTGGCTAATCGCAAGGTGAAGGGCATTTTCCATCCCGCAACGTACCCCGGCAACGTTCTTCCGCCTGGCGCAGCCCGCTTCAGGCTTCACCCCGGCATCTACGCCACCGTTGGTCGAGACATGTCGTGGCGCGACGAATTCGCACAAGTCGTCGTTCCCAGCATCCTCACCATGCTCCAGCGCAAGCGGCAGATGCACTCTCGCCTCCGCCTTCCGGACGACACTGTCACGTTCCCAGCCCGCAACATGAAGGCATATCCGCCTGGCAGGTCAGAGCCCAGAACGGACAGGACAGGTCACAATCAGCACCAGAGAGCACCGTCGGCAACATTGGGAACGAGATTTCGGTTTTTGTTTCGTTGAGTGTTTTCTCTTCCCGATGGAGGGTTTGTGTATTTTTTCCCTTTTTTGGTATTCAGAACGCTGCATCGTCTCCAGGCGACTCGGCCCACTCCCATTGTATAGACTCCAAAAACTCCGCTAGACTGAAGAACTGCCGCCCGATAACCCCCTATAAAAGCCATCTTTTTGCTTCGCCCTTCTTTTGGCATGTGTGCATGTGTGTGCTCCCGAGGGGGAGGCTTCTATGTTTTCTTGAAGAAACCCAGTTTTTTCCCCCCTCCTTCCCCTGGCCAACCTCCTTTTTGATACCCATCAACCTTTTGCCTATGTCCCATTCACGTCTTGTAACCATTCCATCATGTCTGCAAAGCTGTGTTTGCCATTTTTCAGGCAAAGAGCTTCTTCTCGTAAGATTCCATGTTCACGTTGCCTTCGAGCTGAGCGCTGGCAGTACGGATCTCGAAGCGGAGAGTGCCGTTGTCGACGGACTCGCGGAGCTCCTTGAGAGACTGGATACCACAGTCCTGCATGGAGTGCTTCAGGCCGGCAGCCAGATAGGGGATGAACTTGCTGATGGGACTGAGGAACAGTTAGCATTCTGTGCGTGACATGGTAGTGGTGGTGGATGTAAACTCACCCTCTGTGGGCAACCGAGCCGGTGACACCCTGGGCAACGAGGACACTGTCACCCTCAGAGAAGTAGCGGGCAGTGCCGGCGTTGCTCTTCTGGCTGTCCTTGCTGCCGTTGCCGGCCTTCTTGTCCTGCATGGCGTCGATGCTGCCCATGCCACGGTAGGCCTTGACGAGCTTACCCTCACGGGAGACAAAGGATGTACCGGGGGACTCGGTGGTACCGGCCAGAAGACCACCCATCATGACGGTAGAGGCGCCGAGGGCGAGACCCTTGACGACGTGGCCGACGTTCTGGACACCACCATCGGCAATGCAGGGAACACCGAAGCGGGCGGCGAAGCTGCTGACAGAGTGGACGGCGGCGGCCTGAGGACGGCCGACAGCCATGACCTCCTGGGTGATACAGGCGGAGCCGCTGCCCATGCCGATACGGAGACCGTCGACGCCAGCCTCAATCAGAGTGGCAGCCTGCTCGCGAGTGACGACGTTTCCGCCGACGACATCGAGGCCGGGGAACTCCTTCTTGATCCACTGGACCATCTCAACCTGGTACATGCTGTTACCCTGGGAGCTGTCGAGGATGACGACGTCGAGGCCAGCTTCGACAAGGAGCTTGAGGCGGTCCTTGTCCTCAGGACGGGTGCCGATAGCGGCACCGCAGAGGAGCTGCTTGCTGTCGGGCAGTTTGGAAGCCAGGGGGAAGTGCTGGTTCTTGTTGAGGTCGGAGCGGGAGATCATGGAGACGAGGTTGCTGTCCTTGTCGACGATGGGCAGCTTGCCCTTCTTGGACTTGGCCAGGATCTTGTTGGCCTCGGGGAGGTCAATGCCCGAGGGGGCGGTGATCAGGTCGGTAACCATGACCTTGGAGATGGGCTGGTTGGGATCCTCCTCGAACTGGATGTCGCGGTTCGTGACGATACCCAGCAGCTTGGAGCCAAGCTTGCCGGACTCTGCAGGACTTTGTTAGCCATGTTTTTCCAAACAAGGTTGCTGCAGCAGTAAGGAATCCGTGTAGAAGGCTTCGATCATATTATAAAATGTCTCCTCAGAACGACATGGTCGTCAAGTAGGTGGAACGAAAGTTATATTGAAAAGGTTTGTAATCATGAAAGCGAGTAACGTGGGTGGGCGAGTAAGAAAAAATCCAAGAGGGTTGACAAACCTGTGACGGGGAAACCTCCGAATCCCCACTTCTCCTTCAGAGCCTTCGCCTCGCCGACGGTGGTGTCGCGGCTGATGACGACGGGATCCAAGATGAAGCCGTTTTCGTAACGCTTGACCTTGCGGACCATGTCGGCCTGCTCCTGAGGAGAGCAGTTGTGGTGAATGACACCCAGACCACCCTGGAGAGCGATGGCAATGGCCATCTCGTGCTCAGTGACGGTGTCCATGGGGGAGGAGACGAAGGGGGTCTTGAGGGTGATTCTCTTGGTAACGGGCGAGTCGAGGACGACGGCGGAGGCGGGGAAGCCAATGTAGCCGGGGAGGAGCAAGAAGTCGTTGTAGGTCAGGCCACCGTGCTTCTTGGTGTCCATGAGCTCGTGGATGTCGAGGCCATCGCGGCTCTCGTACTCCTTCAAGACCTGCAGCGCGGACTTGGAGTCGAGCACCTTGGCGCCGTTGATTCCGTTGGTGGAAGGCATCTTGGAGGGTATAGTTCTTTTTCTTCTTCTATTCTTCTCGAGGAAACAGGAGAAAGAAGAGGTTAAAAAAAACGGAGTTGAAGAAACAGCTAGTCGTTCGAATTGGAGCAAGAAAAACAAAGTCAGGCCGATTCGAAGACTAAGGGTGGTTATGTCTCTTCTTCCCGTAAGAAAGAAGAGGGAAAAAATCTTGAGACGACACCCCGCAGGAAATTTTTTAACGTGAACGGACCTGAGCACTGCGCGGGCGGCCAAACGAGGGGCAACTGCGGCAGGCGGTGAGAGAATACAGTGCGGCGCAACTATAAGAGTGGTAGATGTACTGTGACAGGCGACGACTTTGACTCCTGCCTTTTATGCTTTCTTCCTAGAAGCATGGTACAAATGCACATTGTTTTTTCCCCTTCACCTGTGACCACCTGCATACCAGACAGCGAGTGTTTAATTTTTCTTTGCATAATATAATATAAGATGCCAGAGACCAGGGTGTTCCCGACTCTTTCTGTATGTATATCTGTCTGGTGCAGCCGGAACTGCTTCTAAGCACAGCAGCCAGTGTCTGGCCATGGCAGATATACAGGAGTACTCCGTAGACCCAGCCTTATGTAAGAAGGCATCGGAGCTCCTTCGAAATGACGCAACAGCACATGGAACCCTGGGGGCGAGGGGCAGGAAAATAAGCGGTTCCAAGATCGAACAGAACTACCTTGATTGTTGCAGTCAGAGGATAACAAACGGGCATGGCCCTTCTTGATGATGTACGCCCACACGGATTCATTTCGATATGTTGCGTTTGTGCAAAATTTTTCAATTCGAATAAAACCAAGATGCCTTGTCGAACGGTCTTGCTGCAGAGTCTGTAGCGTCTGGTTGGCCAGAGCAACCGACCGACAGCAACCCCTGTTGCAGTTGCGCAGACCAGACTGAACTGGGCAGTGGCTGACACGTCGAGCATCACACATGCCTGCGCTTGACGACGGGGAGGCGGTGGGACAAGGCATCGTCGAACCCGTCCCTCAAGGTGTGGAAAAGTGAAAAGGTCCGAAGTCTCCACGCCGCCAAATGTTAGGGAATACGAATGCAATAAGACTGGTGGTGTTACTGTTGCTTTTTTATGTCGCTTAGGCCCAACTACCGGTAGCGTCTGATTGAAACACGGGTTCATGTCCGCGCAGTGCAACGCATACTTGGAGAGGGTGGACGTTGGCGACTGGAGAAACCGAGCCCATCCAATCCCCGAGAGCCTCAACGCTCATTAGCCTTTTTCATATATTGATGGTCTGCCTACGAGCCAAAACGTTTATCTGTGTGGATATCATGATAGTGCCTCATTGGTCAAAACACATTGCTGAAGGTGCAAAACTGTGTGGGAGGATGAAGGAGAAGAAAACAAGGGAAAAAAGGAAAGGGAAAAAAAAAACAAAAAAACTAGCGAAAAACCCCCCCTCGAGACCAACGCGAGAGTATGATTGGCTGTTTCAGCTGCATCGAAAAAAGGAACAAAGAAAAGACATCCGATGGAAAACAACAAGTCTTTTTCTTGGAACTCGGAGGACAATGGATGCACCAAACCCCCCAAACAACGGCAAATATTGTAGTCGGCGTACTCTTGCTTGGGTTTATTTGTTGGCGGCGCCAGGTAAGGAGACGATAATGCCATACAGATGCCAACCGTCCGCGAGTGGATGGCATACGTACGCTGCGGTATTCGCAAGTCGTAGATACACCAATGAAGCTAGAAGACAGTGGTGCCACAGCAATGGGCCAGACCTTTGTTCGTGGGGGGTTCGTCACTTTTGCAATGTGATCCATGCAGCAGGTTGAAAACGCAATGCTCATCCTGGTCGTTGGGCACGACCCATCAAACCTTGACTTGGACAGTCAAGAGAGTCTCCCAATTTAGTACACTAACTACGCAGTAGGTAGGTACTAGACGGCGTTTCTGAGACGACAGACAATTGGGGTTAGATTGGCCGACGTGTCAGAGGGCTCTCTCTAGAGGGAACAGACGCCCGCATGTGTTAAATCAGAGATGAAGAAAGACAGCATGCTGGCCTGCTCCCCAACAACCGCTCTCAAAGGTGAAGTAAGGACCTCAGTATACCATACAGACATTTACAATAAGTAGGTAGTTTAATCGGCCTGGCAGCTTTGGGCCTCACCGGGTAATGGTCTCGTTGACTTTTCTTGGGTTGCAGCCCTCGGCAGGTTGCAGCCCTCGGCAGAAGCGCGTGGCCCAGAGAAAACCGGACGACAGTCCAATTGACGGACAGCGGAAGCGGGCGGAGGGGGCGGAGGGCCGTGCAACGGAAGATTGGGCGCATCAGGACCCATATCTTTTGAAGAAGCCGGGCGGGTGTGACGCAGGGGCCACCCTTGGTGAGCCACAAGCCACCCGGATTTCCTAGGCACCTAGGTACCCTACCACCTACGGACACTGAGTATGTACGGAGTAAGGTACCCTGGCTGCAAGGAGGCTGGGCTGGGCTGGGCTGGGCTGGTTGCTGCCGCTTCCCACTTGCAGCAGTAAACAAACAAACTGCCTTAACAGGTCCCGACTCCCTCCCACTCTCCCCCCTCCCCTCGCCTCCCCTCCATCGACCCAACATCCCGCCTACACCCGGTCGGTCCATTTTGACGAGATTGCGACTGCGCTTTGAATGGCAGTGGCTGCACTGGCGTGAAGTGGGCTGTCTGTCTGTTCGTTGTTCATATTCCGCCGTAACAGTCTTCTCATTATCATCATCATCATCATCGTTGCCCTTGTCGTCGGCCTTGTTTTCCTCGCTGTTGTCGAACCTCTTTTGATTTTTGTTTCGTTTGCGCAGCGCGCGCTCATGTTGCGTCTCGAGGCCCCCCCAACCACCCCATTCTTCACTCGCATTTTCGACCTACCGCCGAGCCCGCCGCCTCGAATCTTAACCCGGCGTTTGTTTGCTTGTCTTGTCGAGAGGCCCTTACGAGCACCATAGAAGAACGAGACCCCGAGGTCGACCTTAATCCGTCTCGCTACATTCCACTACCATCGACGTCCGACAAAGGCGCCCTAATGTTGTCATCCGAATTCCTGAGCCCACAGATTTTCGATTGCAGGCTTCCTACGGTATCATAATCATCGCCGCCCACCATGTCGCACCGACCACACCCTCTCAGACAGTCGCATACCCTGGATTACCCCAGCCATCTCAACCGTCAGTCCTCCACCACATCGTCCGTTGCTTCCTCGGGGTACTCGTTGTACTCTGAAAACAGCAGAGCAAGCACTCAACTCTCTTCAGTTTCCAGCGGCTACTCGTTACCAAGTTCTCATAAGAGGGGCAAAAGCGATGGCTCACGGCTGCAAAAAGTCTCATTCGGAGGCGAGAACCAAGACCGCAAGAAAGACCAGGACAACAACATCTACTCCATGGCTAGGCAGTCGCTTCGTCCACTCCCCCAAGCTCCCGCCTCGCCATCCCGTGCCACTGCCACCGTGCCGACGACGACGCCCTCAACTCCTTCGCCGCCTCGTTCAACCTACCGCCATGAACGCACCCAGAGCGTTGACAGTGGCAGGCTCTCACACTCCCAACGCGACGGCAGCACGTCTCCGACTCCGCTGTCACGAACTCTGACAATCCGCCCCAACTCGATGTTCATCCCCCGTTCCGACTCGGTCAGCCGTGGAAGCGCGGCCCTGCCCCACGCCCATGAACCCCCTTCCGCTGTACACTCTGCCGCACTTGCCCGTCCGGACCTAGAAAAGCTGGGCAGATCTTCGACAAGCCAGCTGCGCACATTATCCAAACTTGCTCAGTCCGAATCTGCCGATGACTTTGCAATCACGGCACCAGCTCAAGAAGTGGTAGGCCTGAGGGGCCGTCGCAGGTTGCAGAGGGCAGGCCAACCCAACACAACTCGCGCTGGCCAGCGCACCGGCGGATACGGCTGGGAAGGTCGAAATTGGATGGACAAGCAGCGTCAGTTTCTCCAGGCCTACGAATACCTCTGCCATATCGGTGAAGCCAAGGAGTGGATCGAAGACATCATTCACAGGGCCATTCCTCCCATCGTTGAGCTGGAGGAGGCCCTTCGTGATGGAGTCACGCTCGCCGAGGTGGTCGAGGCTCTCAACCCTGACAGAAGATTCCGCATTTTCCGGCATCAAAAACTGCAATTCCGACACTCCGACAACATCGCCATCTTCTTCAGATACCTGGACGAAGTCGAACTCCCAGACTTGTTCAGGTTCGAACTTATCGACTTATACGAGAAGAAGAACATTCCCAAAGTCATCCACTGTATCCATGCTTTGAGTTGGCTTCTCTTCAGAAAGGGCATAGTCGACTTCCGCATCGGTAACCTTGTCGGACAGCTTGAGTTCGAGCACCACGAGCTCGAAGCCATGCAAAAGGGTCTCGATAAACTCGGCGCTAACATGCCCAGTTTCGGCAACATGGGAGCCGACTTCGGCGTCGAACCCGCAACCCCGGAGCCCGAAGAGACCGAGGAGGAGAGAATCGACCGTGAACTGGGTGAGAACGAGGCGTCTATTGTTGAGCTTCAGGCACAAGCCCGTGGAGCCATGGTGCGAATGCGCCTGGGAGACACCATGCAGCAGCTCTGGGACGTTGAACAGGCTCTCATTGATCTGCAATCTCGCATCCGAGCCGATTTTACTCGTCAAGTCATTGGCTATCGGCTTCAGATGAGACGCTTTGCGGTTGACCTGCAGAGTCTTGCTCGCGGATTCCTCGTCCGAAACAAGATGGCCAACAAGGAGCGCATGTGGAGGATGCTGGAACCCGACATCTTGGAGCTCCAAAGTATCTTTCGGGCCAACAAGGTCCGCGATGAGGTGCGAGACAAGAGATCTCAATTGGCCCGTCATGCTGGACCTGTTCGCAAAATCCAAGCAGCACTTAGGGGGTTCTTGGTCCGAAAGGAGCTCGTTATCCAACAGCAGGAAACGGTACAAACATCTGGACAAGTTCAAAGTCTTCAGGCTGCTGTCCGCGGAA